TTTTGGCTTAAACTCTTATTTTGTTTGATATAAGTACAGCTATTCCTGATCTCTTTTGGTTTCCAGTTGCATAGAATCTTTTTTCATCCCTTCACTTTGAGCCTGAGTGTGTCCTTAAAGCTGCTATGAATCTCTTGTAGGTTTGGGTCTATTTTTTTCTTTTATTCATCTAGTCATTCTTTCCCTTTTGTTTGGGATATTTAATATAGTTATATTTAGAGTAATTATTGTTAGGTAAGGGATGTAATAATGCCATCTTATTAGTTATTTTGAGGCTATTTTATAGTTTTCTTGTTCCTTTCTTTCTTTCTTGATGTCTTCCTTGGTGAATTGATGGTTTTCTATAGTGTTGTGCTTTGATTCCTTTATCTTTTGTGAAGCTACTGTAGATTTTTTGCTTTGTGGTTACTATGAGGATTACATGAAACATCTTATATAACTCTGTTTTACGTTGGTTAAAACTTAACTTTTATCACATACCAAAACTACCATTTTACTCCATTCCTTTTTCTGTTTTTGATGTCACAATTTACCTCTTTTTATAATGTGTATTTGTTAACAAATTACAAGTGTAGTTATTTTTAACATATTTGTCACAACCTTTGTATTAGTGTTAAGTGGTCAACGTACCACCCTATTACAGTAGTTGAATGTTTTGAATTTGACTGTATACTTCTTTTACCAGTGTGTTGTATGTTTTTATATTACTGGTCAGCATCCTTTCATTTCAGTTTAAAGAACTCCTTTTGGCATTTCTTGTAGGGCGGGTTTAGTGGTGATGAACTTTTGTTTGGGAAAGTCTTCACTTAATTTCTAAAGGATAACTTTGTTAGGTAGAGTATTTTTGGTGGTTTTTTTTTCTTTCAGCAGTTTGAATATATCATTCCACTCTCTTTGCCTGAAAGGTTTCTCCTGAGAAACCCACTGATAGCCTTCCCTGGTAAGTTACACACTTCTTTTCTCTTCCTGCTTTTACTATTTTTGTGTTTCACTTTTGACAGTTTTATTATAATGTCTGTTGCAGAGGATCTCTTAAGTTGATTTTGTTTGGTTACTTCATAAACTTGGATATCCAAATCTATCTCTTGATTTGGGAAGTTCTCAGCCATTTTTAAAAATAAGCTTTCTGCCCCTTCTCCATCTTGTTTCCTTCTGGACTTCAGTAATTTGCAAATTATCCATATACCATTTCTTACTTTCATTCTTTTTTCTTTGTTCTTTCCTGGCTGTATAATTTCAAAGTTCCTCTCTTCTAACTCAAAGATATTTTTCTTCTGATTGATCTGATATAAATGCTATTTCATTGTTTATTTCATTAATTGTATTTCTTTGCTCCAGATTTTTTTTTTGGTTCTGTTATTATGATTTCCCTTTTTTTTGTTCAACTTTAAATTTTGTTTATGCATTGTTATCCTTATTTTGTTGAATTTCCTTTCTATATTTTTTTGGTAGCTCCTGGCATTTCCCTAAAACAGCTATTTTTGATTTTTCAGTGGGTAAATCACAGGTCTTTGGGATCACTTAATAGAAGATTATTGTGATTCTTTGGTGACGGTATGCTCTCTGTATTTTTTATGTTTCCTGCAGTTTTGCATTGCTTTCTTTGCTTTTGTAGTATCGGTCACTTCCTCTAGTTTTTTCTAACTGCCTTTGGGGGAGAGACATCTTTCTTTAGGCCTACTAGGAATCTGAGGCGTTCTGACTGTCCGTGGATATATCTGCTCTGTGTTTTGTTCCCTCTTGTACAGAATTTAGAAGTTTGTATAAATTCTCTTGATTCTACAATGCCCATTGTTGGGTGCTGACCAGCCCCCTTTTTGTTTTCCCCAAGGTGTCACTAAAGCTCGAGTTCTTTGTCTCTTTCTGGCTCACAGATTTGGGCTGACTTTCTGTATGTGCTCAGTAGCCATCTGGCAAAACTCAGTGTTGCTGCCACTGTCAGGAGTGTACACTGGAACCAGCCACAGGGTGGGGAAGTGTCTGGGTGAGCACTGGTGCCTGTGAGCCATTTGGGGAAAACTGTGGATGGGGTGTTTGGGGAGGGTCAGGTGTGCCTCTTGATGTAGTCAGCATGGTTCGCCACCACTGAACGCCCTTGAGAGCACTGTTTGCTCTCCCAGCCTCCTCCTACACCCCGTCACGCAGCTCACAAGCCAGTGCTCTAGAGAGGGTGAGAAAGAAGTGAGCCTCTGAGCAGCATCCCAGGTAGGCACGTGCATAGTCACTTGCTGTCACTTTCCCCTGCAGGACACATCACAGGCACAGGTCTCTCTGGGTCCTAAACGGCACTGCTTGGGGAGGTGATATGTGTCAAGTCCAACTGTTCCTCTTACCCTCTTCAGTGTGTCCAGACTGGTAGTTGTTTTGCTCCAGTGGTGTACTGAAACTTCTCTGCTGGAAACCTGGACTTCAACAAAAGCTCCTGTCCATGAGTGATTTCTTAAGACAGGGGTTCCCAGGCTGTGGCCAAGAGGGGCTGGAGCCAGTTTATGGGCCATGCTGGGTCCATAGCCAGGGCTGAAGTCTGTATGCTTATCACTGACTGCACCAGTGGCCAAGGCTCTGCCTGGGTCACTGGGCGGCTGGTGCTGGGTACCAAAGCTCTCTCTACACCACTTTTGTCTGTGGATGGATGCCAGGTTGTTGCTGTAGGAAGGATATTTTATTCAGCCATGATGCTGACGTCACTCCTGCTTTAATGTTGTATCTCCTCGTGTTATATCAAGTCAGGTTTGGAGCTGAAGCTGGGAATGAGATCTACTTCGTACACACTGGAAATGGATCTATCATTGTATTGCAGCATTCTGTTTAGACACTTTTATGATTGTTAGAATAAAATAATATTAATATGGATGCCCAGTGACCCCCCCACCCCCATATTTTCACAAACAGCAAGAATAGGAGTATGTAGAAAAGAACAGATGAAATAAAAGAAGGACCACTTTGGGAATACCAAAGAGTTGAAGGAATTAATGGAATTTTATCTCCTTCACATTTAGAAAATGTTTAATTCAACTTTATCTTATTGAAGAAAAAATTTATGTTGCCTATTTTTTGGTGATTGGTATGAAAAAGTATTGGCTTGAAAAGTATTGAATACAGTGTATACATTTGGGAAAAGGGTATTTTTGCATGTTGTCTTTTATGTATTGAAATCTTTATTTTGCTGAAGAATCAAATGTGTGTATCAGACCTAGCTCTTTGGGGATTTCCCAGACTTGGCCATTTTCCTCATCTGTACTGATTAGCAGCTCTTCCCATCTGTAAAGACATCATGTTATTTGTATATGCTACTTCATTTCCTAGCTATTTGAGTAGATATATACTCTCAGAGAAGGATGTTGTGAGATTCCTAAACGTTCCAAGAATCATGATTTAGTAGGACTTTTTTAACTTTCAGGAGCCATAGCCTCATACAAAAATCCCAAGAAAATAGGTTCTTTTTTTTTTTAAAAAAAGAATGAGTGCAGTTAGCAAGTGTTATTACACTTGTAAATATCTTTAACTTTTGTTATACATCTGAAACTATGGTATCTTCTATCTCTGATATTTAAAAAAAGTAATTATTTCTAAAACTGGGCAGTACAATTAAAATAGAACTTTTAAACTGAAGAGAATATCATCTGATAGGTTTATATTTTTCAAAGCCAGTAAGATTGGTAGTTCAGAAAAGTTCTAACTTATACATGCAAATATTGTGTATTTGGCATATTTACTCCGAGTCTTTATTAATCTTAGTTATCATTTTTGAGTGGCTCATTCTTAAGACACTTCCCGTAATTAATTTTTAAAATTGTTTATAATTAACATTTTCAGTGATTAGTTGACAGAAATTCTCACACGTAAATTTTTAAACTTGGCTCTTTGATAATTGTGTTGCATTCTGTTATTTGGGCTGGAAAACTGTTCACAAGTTGTAGAAGTAGAAGCTATATACTCAAAACGTCTCCCTTCAGACTGTCTCTCAGTTGCCATTTCCAGAGACCACCGATGTTACTTAACTTACTTTTTATTGTCACTTAGAATTAGAATGTGGATTTTGTCCTTGGGTGAGGATTAAAAAAAAAAAAAAAGTTTGCATGTAAAATAATTCTGCCATTTTCAGAAAATATCAGTTACAAGATGTTGAGCAAGAAAGTTTTAAGGAACTCTTTAATACCTTGCATGGTAATACAGTTTTTACTCTGAGAACTTAATCTTGGGTCTGTGGTTGTTATCTGGGGAATATACCTCTGTTAACAGGGGAAAATGACAGTCAGGTAAAAGTATATTTATCTGTCACATTTGCTATTTTGTTTGCTGACATTTCCTTGCCAAGGAACCTCTTTTGTCCTGGAGAAGGACAAAGATTGAGCTCAGTGTAGTGTAGATCAGTTGTTGAGCACTGTTTTCCCACCAACCTGGTTTTGTTTTCTTCATGTGTAATTCCTGTTTTAGTGACATGGACCTTTTAAATTCAGAATTGGGTGTAAATATTTCTTCTTATGCTGTCTGCCCAGGAACACTAATAGTTCATGTCAGCCTGTTGTTGTGCTGCCCATATGGCAGGTTCTAGTCACATGTGGCTTTAAAATGGAAATCAATTAATTTCTTCAAGTGGTCATTTGTGGTTAGTGGCTACTGCATCAGCAAAAATAGAATATGTCCATCATTGCAGACAGGTCTGTTGTATAGTTTTGACTATATATGTGTAATTCAGGTTTGGTAGCTTGGGCTGTTTAAAATTACCCCAATCCCCACCCCCAAACTACTTCTAATTTGCAAGGTTTTATGTTTTTATAAAAACTCAGTAATTTAGCCTCACATTTATCCAGTGGACTATTAATTGCGCTATCACTGGTGATTTTGTTTTCAAAGATGTTTCTTTAGTTATTTCTTGGGTACCATATTTCTGTTTTTTTTGGGGGGGGTGGGGGTAGAATTTGTGTGTATGAAAAATGTGCTCTGTTCCATTTGTCTTACGAGGACAAACATGCTCTTTGCGGTCCCTTGTGTTTCAGGAAGCAAGAGGCTACTATGAGCAGACAGGAGTCGGCCTCCTGCCCGTCGTTCTGTTCAATGGGATGCCCTTGGAGAGGGAGCAGCTGGACCCCGACGAACTGGAAACCGTCACGATGCACAAGATCCTGGAGACCACCACCTCCTTCCAGCGAGCAGTGTACCTGGTGTGTTGTGTTTGGAGACCGATTTTGAGACAGACCGGTTTTGTCGTGGGCAGTACGATTCTTTAAGTATCACTGTTTTCCTTACACTAGTCTTTAGTAGTTTGCAGATTTCTAGCAAGTTCTGCTATAATGGAAGTATTCATGAGACTTTCTGTACATTGTTTTTGAAATAGCTAATTTCATTGGTTTCAGGATTTAATTTTATTTTAAATATTCTTAAGAAGATAGTCATTCTGGGAGATATTTGTTCTACTATAAGGAATTTTAACTTAGAAAAGGTTAAAATATTTCATAAATATAGTTATTGTTGAGATATAACTCATACGCTATAAAACTCAACCTTTTAAAGTGGACTGTTTGTTGGTTTTTAGAGTATATACCTCTGTCTAGTTTCAGAACATTGTCATCACTCCCAAATAAACCCACACCCAGCAGCAGTTACGTCCATTCTCCCTTACCTTGCCCCTGTCAACCATGACTCCTTTCTGTGGATTCGCCTGTTTAGGACATTTATAGAAATGGGTTTATACAATATGTGGTCTTTTGTGACCGCTGTCTTTCACTCAGTGTAATGCTCTCAGGGTGTCCTCATTGGAATATTTGTCAGTGCTGCATCTCTGTCTGTGACAGAGCGGTAACTAGTTCCTCGGATGGACTCAGCACTTTTCTCCCTTCTCAGCTGACGGCGTATTCGGGGAGTTTCCCTTTTGGCTGCTGTGATAGGGATGCTGCTGGAACACTCGTACCCAGGCTGTCTTGGCACATCTAGCAGTGGAATTGCCTGCTTGTTTGAACAGTTTGAGGAAAGGCCAGACTGGCTCCGAAGCAGCTGCCCCAGGAGACATCCGTGCTGGCAGAGTGCGCAGGTTCCACTTCCTGCACCTCAGCCAGCACGTGATGTCCGTCTCCTCAATACGGCCTGTATTTTCTTGGCAGAAATGTCTATTCATATTATTTGCTCGTGTTTAATTGAGTTATTTGTTCTGTTATTTTTGAGTTGCAAGAGCTGTTTCTGTATTCTGGGTACTAATCATTTGTATTATTTTCTCATTTTATGATTTGTCTTTTCACTGTTTGGTGGTGTCTTTTAAAGCTCAAATGTTTTTAATTTGGATTAAATCCAATTTGCTATTTTTATTTTGTTGCTTGTGCTATTTGAATCATATATAAGAAACTATTGCTTAATCCTAGGTCACACATATTTATGCCTATATTTCTTTCCTTCTGGGCATTTTATAGTTTTTTCTCTTAACATTTAATTCTTTGATCCATTTTCAGTTAGCTTTTGTATCAGCTGTCTCAGCACCATTTTTAAAAAAATTAATTAATTTATTTTTGCTACAGATGTTACTCCTTTTCCCCCCACTGATTCCCTCCTCCCTCCCAGTCCCCACCTTTATTGTCCATGTCCATTGTTCATACATACATGCATATAAGTTCTGTGGTTTATTTCTCCCCCCCACCCCCTCTTCAGGGGATTGTCAGTCTGAACCCCACTTCACCTATCTGGGACTACCCCATTCCTCAGACTGTTATGTTCAATATATTCCACAAATAAGTGAGATCGTGTGATATTTGTCTTTCTTTGCTTGGCTTGTTTCACTTAGGATAATACTTTCCTGGTACCTCCATGTCGTCTCAAAGGATAAGATATCTTTCTTTCTTTACAGCTGCATAGTACTCCGTTGTGTATATGTACCACATCTTTTTTATCCATTCGTCTACTGATGGACATTTAGGCTGATTCCAGATCTTAGTTATTGTAAATAGTGCTCGTATGAACATGGGGGTACTTATATTCTTTCTGATTGGTGTTTCAGGCTTCTTAGGATATATTCCTAGAAGTGGGATCACTGGGTCAAATGGAAGTTCAATTTTTAATTTTTTGAGGTAACACCATATTGTTTTCCATAGTGGCTGCACCAGTCTGCATTCCCACCATCAGTGTGCTAGAGTCCCCTTTTCTCCACACCCTCACCAACACTTGTTGTTTGATGATTTGTTGATGGCGGCCATTCTGACAGGTGTGAGGTGATACCTCATGGTTGTTTTAATTTGCATCTCTCTGATGATTAGTGATGATGAGCATTTCTTCATATGTCTCTTAGCCATTTGTATGTCCTGTTTGGAGAGTTGTCTATTTAGTTCTTCTGCCCATTTTTTAATGGGGTTCTTTGTCTTCCTTTTGTTGAGTTGTACGAGCACTCTATATATATTGGAAATTAACCCCTTATCTGATATATCATTGGCAATTATATTCTCACATACAGTGGGTTGCCTTTCCATTTTGATGATTGTATCTTTTGCTGTGCAGAAGCTTTTGAGTTTGATGTAGTCCCATGTGTTCATTTTCTCCTTTGTTTCTGTTGCATTAGGTGATGTATCAGTGAAAATTCTGCTGCCTATAATGTCTGCAATTTTGTTGCCTACATTTTCTTCTAGGATTTTTATGGATTCATGAGTCACATTTAAGTCTTTTATCCATTTTGAGTTTATCCTTGTGTATGGTGTAAGTTGATGGTCTAGTTTCATTTCTTTGCATGTAGCTGTCCAATTCTCCCAACACCATTTATTAAAGAGGCTGTCTTTACTCCACTGTATGCTTGCCACCTTTGTCAAATATTAATTGAGCATATTGCCTTGGGTCCATTTTTGGGTTCTCTGTTCTGTTCCTCTGGTCTATATGCCTGTTCTTGTGCCAGTACCAGGCTGTTTTGATAACAATGGCTTTGTAGTATAACCTGAAATCTGGTAATGTGATCCCTCCAACTTTGTTCTTCTTTTTCAAGATTGCTGTGGTTATATGAGGTCTTTTTTGGTTCCATATGAACTTTTGAAGTATTTGTTCTAGTTCTGTGAAGTATGTCGTTGGTATTTTGATGGGGATTGCATTGAATGTATAGATTGCTTTGGGTAGTATGGACATTTTAATGTTGATTCTTCCAATCCATGAACAAGGTATGTGCTTCCACTTTTTTATATCTTCCTCTATTTCTTTTTTCAATGACCTGTAGTTTTCTGCGAATAGGTCCTTTATTTTTTTTGGTTAAGTTTATTCCTAGGTATCTTAATTTTTTTGCTGCGATGGTAAATGGGATTGTTTTTTTGCTTTCTCTTTCTGTGAGTTCATCATTGGTGTATAACAGTGCCATCGATTTCTTGACGTTAATTTTGTATCCTGCTACTTTGCCAAAGTCATTTATTAAGTCTAATAGATTTTTGATGGAGTCTTTGGGGTTTTCTATATATAGTATCATTTCATCTGCGAATAATGCGTTTCACCTCCTCCTTTCCCATTTGGATCCCTTTTATTTTTTTCTCCTGTCTGATTGCTGTGGCTAAGACTTCCAGTACTATGTTAAATAAGAGTGGTGAAAGTGGGCATCATTGCTTTGTTCCTGTTCTTAAGGGAAATGCTTTTAATTTTTGCCCATTGAGTATGATGTTGGCTGTAGATCTTTCATATATGGCCTTTATTATGTCGAGATATGATCCCTCTATTCCCAGATTGATGAGCATTGTCATCAGAAATGGGTGCTGGATTTTGTCGAATGCTTTTTCAGTGTCTGTTGATGTGATCATATGATTTTTATCTTTCATTTTGTTTATGTGGTGTATCACGTTTATTGATTTGTGAATATTGTACCAGCCTTGCATCCCTGGGATGAATCCCACTTCGTCATGGTGCATAATTTTTTTGATGTATTGCTGGATTCGATTTGCTAGTATTTTGTTCAGGATTTTGGCATCTATGTTCATCAGGGATATTGCCTGTAGTTTTCTTTCTTTGTAGTGTTTTATTCTGGTTTTGGAATTAGAATTATGCTGGCCTCATAAAACGAGTTTGGAAGGCTTCCTTCTTCTTGAATTTTTTGAAATAGTTTGAGGAGAATGGGTATTAGTTCTTCTTTGAATGTTCGGTAAAATTCCCCTGTGAAGCCGTCCAGGCCTGGGCTTTTGTTTGTTGGGAGAGTCTTGGTTACCTATTCAATTTTCTTAGTTGTTATTGGTCTGTTCAAGTTTTCTATCTCTTCCCGGTTCAGTTTTGGGAGACTATGTGTTTCTAGAAATCAGCACCATTTATCGAAAAGAGTGCTCTGCTCAGTAATTTTCATGGTACTTTTGTCAAAAATAAATTGCCAACCTATGTATAGATTTATCTTTGGACGTTCTATTGTTTTCTATTGATCTGTATATATTTTCTTATGTAAGTATCTCATAATCTTGATTATTATTGTAATCAAGTGAATTTTCCAGCTTTGGGGATTTTTTTCTTGTTTTTTAAGATGTTTGTCTTATTGGTGTTCCTTTCATTATCTTATGAATCTTAAGATAAGCTTGTCAGTTTCTGCAGCAAATGACTAGGGGATTTTGATAGGACTTGTATAGAATATAGAATATTTGGGAAGTACTGATGTGTTAACAATACTGATTCTAAGCCATGAACAGAGTATGTGCTATCATTTATTTCGGTCTTATTATTTCATTTCAGTGAGTTTTATTGTTTTTAATGAAGAAGGTTTACACTGTTTTTCTGAAATTTATTTTTCGATATTATATTCTTTTTGATGTTATTGTAAGTGGAGTTGTTTTTTAAATTTAAGTTTTGGATAGTTCATTAAAGTGAGTAGACATACTTTTGATTTTTGTATATTGATTTTATATGTTGTAATCACTTGTTTATTAGTTCTAATAATATTTTGTGGATTTTTTAATGCCTCCTCTATAGAAAATATTTTTGTCTTGCCAGTATGTCATCTTTAACTAGAGAGAGATTTGATTCCTTTTAGTTGGGATTTTTTTTTTTTTTTTACCTGTTTTTCTTTCTTTTTTTCTTTTTTAATTGCCTGCCTTCTAGTAGTGTTCTGAATTGATCATCCTTGTTTTGTTCCTGATCACAAAGCTTTCAGTTCTTTACTAGCCATTGGCATTTTGCAGATTGCCTTTATTGGCTTATGAACATTTCTGCTATTCTTAGTTTTTTTATTGTTTTTTAAATCATCAAAATGTGTTAGGTTTTGTCAAATTTTTTTTCTTTGTTTATTAAGATGATTATGTGTGTTTTTTTTTTTTTTTCCTCTATTGAAATTTGAGAGGAAGGGAGAGAGGAGATAGATGAAAACATTGATGAGAGAGAACATTGATTGGCTACCTCCTGCATGCTGCCCACTGGGTTTGGGCCCACAACCTGAGCGTGTGCCCCATGGGTTGATGTTCAACCACTGTTCTACACTGGCTGGGCCACTATGTGGTTTTATTTATTTATTTATTTGTTTGTTTGTTTGCTGGGCAACCATGTGTTTTGTTTTGTTTTTTTATCCTCACCCGAGGACATTCTTCCATTTTTTGTTCAGATAGAGCGGGAGGGAGAGAGAGAGAGAAACATCGATGTGAAGGGACACATCGAGTGGCTGCCACTCGCACGACCAACCAGGGCCGGGGACAAACCGCAACCGAGGTACGTGCCCTTAGCGGGAACCGAACCCGGGTCTCTCTGTACCGCAGGCCGACACTCCAACCGCTGAGCCAAACCGGCCAGGGCAACCATGTGGTTTTATTTATTTGTTTGTTTGTTTATAATCCTCATACCTGAGTATTATTTTTTCATTGATTTCTTTTTTTCCAGATAGAGTGGAAGGGATGTGGGCAGGGTGGGGGGGGAAGGTAGAGCGAGAAACATTGATATATGAGAAACACATGGATTGGTTGCCTCCCTGAGGACCCCAACCTGGGCTGGGGATTGAACCTGCAGCCCAGGTACATGCCCTTCACTGGGAACTGAACCCCTTACCCCTCAGTCCATGGGCTGATGCTCTAACCGCTGAGCCAAACCAGCCAGGGCTATCCTTTATTTATTAATAGGGAGTGTTGTGTTGACCTAAATTTGAATTCCTTAACCACTTTGTTATGGTGGTTATATAGTGTTTGTATGATTGTTAAATTTTTTATGTCAGTAGTACAGGAAGCTTTGTTTTTCTGCAGCTTTACTTAGCCCCTCCTTCATGATGTTGTTGTCGTACAGATTCCATCTTTCCACATTGTGTGCCCACTGGCATCGATTTACAACTGTTCCCTTTTATAATTTTACGTGAGGTAGAAAAGAGTTGCAACACCCAAAATGTGTTTATACTCTTTATATTTACCTGTGTGGTTCCCTTTACTTGTGCTCTCAATTTTTTATGTGGATCTTAATTATTGTCTTGAGTTCTTTCATTTTAGAAGGAATCTCTTAGTATTTATTATAGGTTAGGTCTGAGAGTGAAAAATTCTCTTCATTTTTCTTTATCTGGAAATGTATTTATTTGCCCTTCATTTTTATTTTTATTTTTTTTATCCTCACCCGAGGATATTTTTTCTTCCATTTTTTGTACAGATAGAGTGGGAGGGAGAGAGAGGAAGGGAGAGAGAGTGAGAAACATCGACGTGAAGGGACACATCGAGGCTGCCACCCGCACGACCAACCAGGGCCGGGGACAAACTGCAACCGAAGTACGTGCCCTTAGCGGGAACCGAACCCGGGTCTCTCCGGACCGCAGGCCGACGCTCTAACCGCTGAGCCAAACTGGCCGGGGCTGCCCTTCATTTTTAAATGATAATATACCTGGATATGGAATTCTTGGTTGACTGCCTTTTCTTTTCAGCACTTTGAATATGTAATTCCATTGCCTGTTGTTCTCTGGTTTCTCTTGAGAAATCAACTGTTAATCTGATTCAGGATCTGGCCTATGTGATGAATGTCTTCTTTCACCCTGTTTTCAAGATCTTCTCTTTGGTTGATTTCAGGATCTTTCAGGATTCCCTTTCATTTTTGACATTCAAAATTCTGTCTAGGTGTGGAACTCTGCGTTTTTCCTACTTGAAATACCTTACCTTTCTTTCTTCCCTTCCCCTCTTCTATCTTTCTTATTTTTTACAACAAACTATAGTTGACCCTTGAGCAATTCAGTGGTTGGGGTGACAACCCACCATGCAGTAAAAAATTTGCATATAACTTTATCCCTAAAACTTACCTACTAAGCTTATTATTGGTGACTGGAAGCCTTACTGATAACATAAAAAGTTGATCAACACATATTTTGTATTTTATATGTATTATACTCTATTCTTATATAAACTAGAGAAAAATGTTAAGAAAATCATAGGGAAGATAAAATACATTTATAATACTAATTGAGGAAAAAAAGTCATGTATCAGTGGACCCTGGTGGACCTGTGTAGTTCAAACCTGTATTTTTCAAGAGTTAGTCGTACAGGTATTTCTATAATATAAGAGGTACAGAAGGGAAGAATAGTAAATGATTTCTCTTTCACCCCACTGTAATTGTGATTCTGGAAATGGAGGGTTGCTTGGATGTCTGAGATTGAAAAAAACTTGGGTGATTTTTATTACAGTATAGTAACTGCTTCAGAGAATGCAGGTGGCTTTCTTCTTTAAGAGAAGCCAACACTGGGCAGATCTCATAGTAGATTATGCTTGTGTTAACTCTTCACTAATCTGAAGAGCTTGCTTATTTCTGGGGAATCCCAGTGTATGTGGGGAGAGAAAATAAACCTGGGTTTGTGTTTCATACTCACTTCCATTGACTCTGTGACTATGAGTTAGCTCTTTAACCTTCTCTGCCACAGCTTCCTGATCTTTAAGCTGGACCAGTAATGCCTCCTTTGTACTGTATATAAGACACCAAGCTGTGCTTGGCCATAACAGGGACCTGGAATGTGGTAACTTCTGTCTTTAGCTATTACCGATACCTGAGAAGATAATATAAAGTTAATGATTTCTTAGTTTCTAATAAATTATTCTTGATTAGAGTTGTTTCATATTCATCCAACACACACCCTGTTTCTTTTAAAAATTTTTTTTTGTAGGGTGAACTATCCCACGATCAAGATGTGGTAGAGTATATTATGAATCAGCCGAATGTTGTTCCACGAATCAATTCCAGGATTTTGACAGCTGAGCGAGAATACCTGGATTTAACAGCAACCAGTAAGGAGTATTTCAGGAACAACTTTGGGCTGTTTTGGATTTGTCTTTCAGAGGCTTTGCACTTATTAGATTGTGGTGTTCAGAAGATAACCTGAGGTTGTGACACAGTTTTATGTTTAAACTCATTGCACCTTGAGTTTATCATACGAGCTTCTACATTCACAAGAGTATCCTGTAAAAGGAGAGACATTCTTCCTGGATGAATCCTTGTAAACTTGGACAAATACTCAGTGCCTTTTAATTACCAACTAAACACGCTTACATGAGAAAAGTGACCTGTATTACTGACTTTCTTAATTGCAAAGAGTTTAAGCAACTGTCCTTTCTTCATCATTCTCGAATCAGTCAGCAATAATGTCAACAAATATCTTATGTAGCTTTTCTCTGAGAACATAGGAATGACCTTCTAAAAAATAAAGCTTCATTGAGAAATAGTGTCATACCATAAAACCAAATCTTTTAAAGTGTACACATTTTAGTGTATTTTGAAAGTCAAGTGATCATTACCACTGTCTTATTTTAGAACATTATTATCACCCCAAAAAGAATCGATGTACCCGTTAGTGGTCACTTTCCATTTCTCCCTTCTCCTGTCCTCCAGCAACCACTAATCTAGTTTCTGTTTCTGTGGATTTTTCTATTCTGGATATTTCCTATAATGGGGAGTTTTTGTGACTGGCTGCTTTCACTTAGCATGATGCTCCTCAGGTTCATCCATGTCGAAGCAGGTGTCAGTAGTATTTTGTTCCTTTTTATGGCTAACATTCCACAGTTTAGATAGTCCATATTTTGCCTATTATTCTTTAGTTGATGAATACTAGGTTGTTACCACAAGAATATCTTTCAAGACGTAGATATGTTAAGCCCGGGTGCGGTTGATTCCTTTTGCCTTCCTGTGAGGTGCTGAAGGCCACTCTGGCAAACTGCTGGAAACACGGGGAGCCATCATCACTGCCCAGGACATCTCCCTGGAGGAGAAGATGTGTGTCCTGGTGAAGTCAAAACCAACTGTGTTTGTCGTTGTTGAGAATAATGAATATGTAGGTCAATTTTTGGTTGTTACTTTATGGCAGCCATCTTCTAACTTGAAACTGAATGTCTTTTCAGCAGAGGAAAATGCACATATATCCTTGTATTTAAAAAAGAAAGTAATCAGAATGGGAACTACATTGTTTCTTTACATTAGGTTTTAGCTTTTCACCAGAAGTTTTAATAGAGCAAGGCTAACAGTGTTGTGAGTCTTTATGCTGAGTTTTTGTTGTTTTCATCATTTTAAATTACACTGTCAGTAGTTATCTTTGGAGTACTCACGAATAAGGAGCATAGAAATAGTTCTGTGTTTGGATACCTCTCTTGATTGGGTGCTGTGGGTATCAGCTGTGAAACAGTGCTGGTCCTCAGAGGCAGAGCTGCAGTCCCTGGCGAGCACTTGGAGCTGTCTGTGAAAGGGCCGCTGGCCTCCTCTCGACACAGTGCTCGTGGCTCCATCACCTGCGCTGCTCTTGGCCTGTGCTGTCCCAAACCTTGTAGAGAATACTAATGTCTGTCTTATTTACCATTCATTGCTTTCCTTTACTAAAATATTGACTGAAAGGATTGTAGGCCCTTAGTGTGTTCTGTTGAATGAAAGTATAGATGGGTGAGTGGGTGGATGGACAGATAGATGGGCGGATGGCAAGTAAGATGTGCTTGGAGGATAGTGAGAAAAGAATGGCATTCGTGCCCTGGCCAGTTTGGCTCAGCGGTTAGAGCATCGGCCTGTGGTCCAGAGTGACCCGGGTTCAGTTCCCCTAAGAGCACGTACCTTGGTTGTAGTTTGTCCCCGGCCCTGGTTGGTCGTGCGGGTGGCAGCCTCTTGATGTGTCCCTTTCACATTGATGTTTCTCTCTCTTTTTCTCTTCCTCTCTCTCCCTCCCACTCTATCTGAACAAAAAATGGAAAAAATGTCCTCAAGTGAGGATAAAAAAAAAAAGAATGCCATTCGTGTTGGGGTCAATAATGCATGAGATTGGGGACATTGCTGGAGGTAGAGGGTTTATGATACCAGGCTGGAGACCATTCTGTAGGTAGGGAGAAATTACTCGGGAGTTTAGAGCAAGGGAGTGACTTGCTGAAACTGGAATTTTAGCAAGAGTAATCTGAAGGGGAAATGATTATTAAGAGCATTGCCCATAGGCACTAATCAGAGAAAGTATATATCTGCAAATGACCTTTTATTTTTGTTAAGGCTAAAAATATACTATTTTATGACACATGAAAACATCAAAATGAGAATTTTAAAGTATTTTTTCCTCCCATTCTTCCCCCCGCCCAAATAATTTAAGGAAGAGCTCATTATGGTGGATGAACACTGGAAGGGAGAGATGAGGTTAAGGGGGCATCTTTACGAGATCATTCTCTAGTTGTAAAGTGATAGAAGTGGGATAGAATAAATTTAAACCATTAAAATGACACATAACTGAATGAGAGTTGTGTGAGATGTGTGCATTTTTATTAACTTTGTGCCTTAAAATGTGATTAATGGAATAGGGGTCAGTAGAATTGTAAAGTTGGTCAATAAACATGAAGCAAAGTATTTGACTCATGCATATTTATAAAACTTATATTATGGCCCTGCCAGTGTGGCTCAGTGGATGGAGTGTCATCCCATGGACTGAGAGATCCCGGTTCAATTCCTGGTCAGGGCACATGCTCAGGTTGTGGGATCGATCCCCAGTAGGAGGTGTGCAGGAGGCAGCTGATTGATGTTTCTCTCTCACATTGATGTTTCTGTCTCTCCCTTCCTCTCTAAAAAAACAATAAAAACATATTTTTAAAAAACTTGTATTATGGACATGTCAGATTATCAGTTGAAATTAACATTAGGTTCACTTTAGGCATATTAATTATAATTTATTAATTATACTAAAATTTTTTTTCAGATAACTTTTTTGTGGATGATTATGCAAGATTTTCTGCCTTGGATTCTCAAAGCAAGACTGCTGCTATAGCCAATAGTATGAACTATCTGACAAAGAAAGGTAATATATTCTAGGCTCATCTTGGATGCAACACTTGTTTCAGTATTTGCAAAACTTCAGTCATTAGTATCTGTCCGGAGATGTCATAATTTATTTTATTAATGACTTCTAATAATTTGAGTATAGAAAATAACTGTTTAAAATATAAATCTTTATATATGTTTGAAAATTTTAATGTTGTCTATAAATTTTAAACTAGATATTAAAGTCAAAAGGAAACATTTTTCATGGTTCAAAAAGGGAAAACATTTATGATGTTAATGGGTTGATGGATTGGAAATTGGTTTGACTTGTCTCTTAAGTGACAGTATTGGATTAATTTTTTAAAGATAAATTTGGTTCTAGAAATACTTTTATAAGTTTTAAAACTGATTTTTATGTAGTTATTTATTTAGACTAATGTGAAGTGATATCCTTTTATGGCAGACAGATGCTTTTCCCTGTCACACTTATTACCCTTTCAGAGCACTGACTGTCAGTCAAGGCAGCTGCTTCTGTCCCCCCGGTAACCTCCCAGAGAGAAAGTCTGGTTTCCTAGATGTATGTCAGTACAGGCATCGCTCCCTTTGATTCCTCAGGAAACATTCTGAGAACGGGCAGTGCTGACCTGAGCACCAGTGGGACTGAGGAGCAGAAAGAGCATAGAGCTTGTTAGGCATTTAAAAATTGACTCTGATGGTAGGCAGTAATTGTAGAAATGACATTTTCTTTTTTTCTACTTTTTTTGCTTTACTTTTGCCCAGGGATGTCCTCCAAGGAAATCTATGGTAACTTTAAACTTTAGAATGTTCTGTTTCTTAATCATCATATTTCAGGCACTGTTGTAATTCAGAATTTATTGACCCTTTATTGGGATGTTTCTGGAACCTGTGGGTAACAGTGGATAATTTATTGGTTCAGATAAATTCTGTATAAATGTTTGCAAAGAAGTGCATTTCAGAAAGTTACAAATTAATATTATTAAAGGCTATAATATGTTACCCACATGTTCAAAGGTTCTTTTTTGTTGTATATGCTAACAGATGCCCACACCCCAGTAGGACTAACAAGTGCATGTCCCTAATTTGTAATTAAGCCACATGGAAGAGACCCTGCATTTGTTCTACTATCAAGATTTTACTGCTTTTGCTTTTTGTATCTTTTTTAAACTTGTACTTTTCTTATTTTTTGCATGATTTTCAGAAATTATTTGGCTTAATCACAGTATTGAAACGTAGAATGTGCTTTCTCCCGCCAACTCAGTGTGTCGTTTTGTTTTTCTACAGATGATTCTTTTATTAGGCCAGTGACTTTTTGGATTGTTGGGGATTTTGATAGCCCTCCTGGAAGGCAATTATTGTATGATGCTATTAAACACCAGGCAAGTATCTACATCTTTACTTTTTCCTCACGAGCATGTATGTGCTGACCTTGTTGTTCAGGGCGGGCCAGGTCCTGCTTCCTTAGTGCCCAAGGGACAGAGCTTCGTTCCTTCAGAGTGCCAGTCAGTCAGAGAAGGAGGAGACCGCCGTATTCTAGCTGTACGTAAGGGGACAGATTCCTCTGGAGGGAAACAGGGAGATCCTCTCAGACAAGTTCTCACTGTGTGACTGCTCATGGTCTTGCTGCGGAGCAGCTGCAGAGACCATGTGGGAGAGGCAGGGCCCTTACGCTGAGACAGGTCCGAGGTGTGTGCCTGCGTGATAGGGGCAGGTCTGGCACACAGAGAGCGCACATGCGTGAGGTCTGAGAGCTCGTAGCACGTTATCGCAGAACCTGAGTGAGTGCAGTGGGGTCGGTTGGGAGGAAATGGGCCCTTCTAGAGAGTGTCATTGTCAGAGAATGAGAAGGTCCATTTTCTTTTCCTGAGCAGTTTCAGGTTGGATCTTCATCCAAATTTTACACCCTTCTGTGTCTCCTTGGCACCTGTGTCGGGTAGGCTTGCTGAAATATGGCATGTGCAGGTGATGTGCGCAATGCCTCCTTGTCTTAGCGGGACGAATCCGCTGCTGTGGTGATTCAGAGTAACATTAGGAGCAGCCTAGTGAAGGATGGCAGATACGTGGGCAGTCTAACTCAGATGGGTGCGTGCTCAGTGTGGCGGGGTGGAGGACGGAAAGGGGGAGCGGAATATTCTACATCAATGTTTTCATTAAAGTAAAATGTAGGTTCAGAAGAAGTGCACAAGTCATAGCCCCCACAAGTGACCACACCCAGGCAAGCAGAGGTATCCTGTTCCTGAAAGCCCTCCCCTGCTCATGACCACATCAATGCCCAGAGCTCTTCCCTCTTCTCATGTCATAGAATAGGTTTGCCTATGTATTACTTTATTTTAGTGGAATCTTATATTTATTTGTGTTGGGTTTCTTTCCTCAACATTTTTGAGATCCATGAAATGACAAGTAGTGATAGTTCTATTTCATTGTGTAGTATGGTATAACTCTATCACAAAGTTTGTTTGTTTAGTTTGTATTTGATGGATATTTGGATTGTTTCTAGTTTGGGGCTATTCTGAAGAAGGCTGCTGTGAATTTTCTTATACATGTCTTTAGAATTTAGCAGTTCTCAAACTGTAGGTCATGACCCCTTTGAGGGTCGAACGACCCTTTCACAGAGGTCGCCTAAGACATAACAGTAGCAAAATTACAGTTATGAAGTAGCAACGAAAATAATTTCATGGTTGGGGTCAGCACAGCGTGAGGAACTGTACTAAAGGGGTCAGCACAGCGTGAGGAACTGTACTAAAGGGGTCACCACAACGTGAGGAACTGTACTAAAGGGTCGCGGCATCAGGAAGATTGAGAACCACTGCTTTAGATATACTTAAGTACACATTTCTGTTGCTTATGTTCTTGATATGAGCCCTTTTTTGGTTTTAAGGGTCCCAGATATCTTCTTTTGCGTGGATTCTTGTCTTTTTACCCAGGGAGAGATTACTTTTTACTACAAATCTATAAAGACTCTGTGAAAGAAGAAGGGTTTGAACAGAGCCCTGAAGAAAGTTGGGGCTTAAGTGGGTGTACTAGGGTTCACATGAAGTGTGAGGTACTCTGTGCAGGAGAGTGCAGGCTGTGGGGGGCAGCGGACTCTGTGGCCTGTGATGTATTCACAGGAGGGTGGGAAGGGAAGTTGGAAAGGTGGGGCCAACTCCTGCAGGTGTTCGAGTGCCTGGTCACGGCATCCAAATTTTGTTCTGTGTGCAGAGGGGAACCACCAAGATTTACATGAGGCCTTATTTTCTCTTTATAGACTGTGGCTGATATAATGCCACTTTTTAGTTGAGAACATCTACCATATAACCCTTATTTCCTGTTTTGTGACTAGAAATCCAGTAACAATGTTAGAATAAGCATGATCAATAATCCCAGTGAAGAGATAAGTTATGAGAACACTCGGATCTCCAGAGCAATCTGGGCAGCTCTCCAAACGCAGACCTCCAGCTCTGCTAAGAACTTCATCACGAAGATGGCCAAGGAGGAGACTGCGGAGGCCCTGGCGGCAGGGGCTGAGATCGGGGACTTCTCTGTTGGGGTGAGTCTCTGCTGCTTGCCACAGAAGTGTGCTCCCCTGGGCTGAAGTTTATACTCAGGATTTGTGATTTTAGTTTTGAGTCTCAGGATTTCTTTTTTTGTTGTTGGAAGAATTCTGTCCAAGAAATAGCAGTTCTGCCACATTGCCTTAATTGCTTTAAAATTGTTAGGTTTCAAGATGTGAAAAATATAACTTTTTGCATATTTTAAGCACAAGCCATTTGTTTTTATAGTTTTTAAAAGAGACAATATTTGACTTGTTGATAGAGCAAAAAACAGATTGAAGATGGTTAATGAGTTAGAAGCTAATGTGTTCTTGATGTGTTTCCAACAGAAGCCCATGTTTATTCATTTATATGTAACATACTTTTTACTGTTTTTAGTCTTAAAATTTATTATGAAATGATGAGTATATTGATGTTTCAGTTAGGAAAAAGGCTTTTACTTCAAATTAGAAAGATTTTAAAATGCAGAATAAAGGTATGAACGCTAGTTTACCATTCAAACAGTCACACAGAAAACAGGACAAGGAAGCGAGCATTACTTGAGAGGTCGGGGGCGGGGGGGGGGGCGGGGGCGGAGGGGTAATGTTAATTATTCAAATTAGTTATTTCACTAATAGAGCATTTTATGATTTATTCATTATTATTATTCATTTTTATGGTTTAATAACTATCACTTTTCCTTAATAATAATTACTTTCCTAGGGCATGGATTTCAGTCTTTTTAAAGAGGTCTTTGAGTCTTCCAAAATGGATTTCATTTTGTCTCATGCCATGTACTGCAGGGATGTCCTGATGCTGAAGAAGGGGCAGCGGGCAGTGATCAGCAATGGAAGGGTGAGAACCTTGTTCTGAGACAAATTGACCTCAGATTAGACCCGTGAACAGACTTGGCAGTGTCCCCCTTTGCAGAGAATAACTCTTCAAGTGGAGCCTCTCTGTAGAGTTGACGGGCTCACGCAGTGTGATGGCTGTTTCTCTCTCGTGTTCTGAAGGAGGTTTGCCCCTTTTGACAGCAGTGTCCTGTGTTAAATTTTGTCCTGCTATTGTGTAAGGTGGTGAGGTGTGTGGCCCTCAGAACACAGTCAGTGAGGCCTATGACATGAAGCGCTCCCCTTGGGGACCACGCTTGTAGTTGTGCATCTTGGCATCCCGCTGGGTGAGGCGTGCACTTCTCATGAGCTCCTGCAGCCGCTGAAATGAGCCCACAGGCAGACAGCGGTGCACATGCAGACTTGAAGTCTGAGCACACGGTAAAATCTTTGATATCAACCGTGCTATCTTGGTTGTGGCTTTATTATATTCAGTGAGAGTTGATGAAAACGATATCAGTTTACTTCAGAATTTGCTTACTGTAAAAATACTGTAAAGTATACAAGTCTACACTTTGTGTAGTTGAGGAATTAATAAGTAAATAAATAACAGTGCAAGTTCATTGGGATTTTATTTTTACATTTTTATTGACTTGCCCAGCTGGTGTGGCTCAGTGGTTAAGCGTTGACCCTGCACCAAGAGGTCGCTGGTTCGATTCCCAGTCAGGGCACATGCCCAGGTTGTAGGCCCGATCCCCAGTGGGGGGCATGCAGGAGGTGGCCAGTCGATGTTCTATCTCATTGATGTTTCTATCTCTCCCTCTCCCTCTCCCTTCCTCTGTCTCTCAAAATTAAACAAAAAAAATTAACATTTTCATTTACTTTATTTAGAGGTAAACGTGTCTTGAGTCTTTAACATGATTTGGTTCATAAGATAGCCTGAGGACAATAAAGGACTTCATTACCGCTTGCAGGTTCCCACACTGACCACCCTGTTCTCCTTCACAGATCATTGGGCCACTGGAGAATAGTGAGCTCTTTAATCAAGATGATTTCCACCTTCTAGAAAATATCATCTTAAAAACTTCAGGACAGAAAATTAAATCTCATATTCAGCAGCTTCGGGTAGAAGAGGATGTGTAAGTTTTATATAGAAGAAATTTATGTCATAGGGGCTATGTGTTTTTTATCTATATTTTTCAAACTCACTTAAATTTTCAATTGTGGTTGACATTCACTGTTATTTTTACATTAGTTTCAGGAGCACAGCATAGTGGTTAGACATTTATGTAACTTACAAAGTGATCCTCCCACCCTGGCTGGTTTGGCTCAGCGGTTAGAGCATCGGCCTGCGGTCCAGAGAGACTCAGGTTCGGTTCCCTCTCAGGGCACACACTTTGGTTGCAGCTCCCCCCCCCCCCCCCCGCCCTGGTTGGGTTGTGTGGGTGGTAACCACTTGATGTATCCCTTTCATGTCAATGTTTCTCTCTCTCTCCCTCCCACTCTATTTGAACAAAATATCAGAAAAAAAAAATCCTCAGGTGAGGGAAAAAAAATGTAAAAAAGCAAAAAACAAAGTGATTCTCCCAATAAGTTTAGTGCCCATCTGGCACCATGCATAGTTATTACAGTGTCAGTGACTGTTTTCCTTATGCTGAACTTCACATCCCTGTGTCTGTTTGTGGCTGCTAATGTGTGCTTTTATTTTAATTCCTTCACTTTTTTACCCCAGTCCTCCAAGTCCCTCTCATCTGATAACCCTCAGTTTGTTCTCTGTATTCATGAGTCTGTCTCTGTTTTGTTTGTTTATTTTAATGTTTAGATTCCTCATATAAGTGAAGTCTGTGGTGTTTGTCTTTCTCTGTCTTACTTATTTCACTCAGTGTAATACCCTCTAGGTCCATCCATGTTGTCTCTAATGCCAGGATTTCATCAGTCCCTATGAGGTTTGTCATTCTGTTCCTTACTTCCATGACTCTGGATCTATTTTGATTGATAGCTTATTTTGTTCATGATAAACTATGAATAAGTGAGATCATGTGATATTTGTCTTTCTCTGATTGGCTTATTTCACTCAGCATAATACTTTCCAGGTCCCTCCATGTCGTCTCAAAGGATAATAAGAGATCTTTCTTTCTTATAGCTGCATAGTACTCCATTGTGTATATGTACCACAGCTTTTTTTTTTTTTTTTTTTAAATCCTCACCCGAGGACATTTTTCTATTTTTTGCTCAGCTAGAGTGGAAGGGAGAGAGGAGGAGCGAGAGAGAGAAAGAAAGAGAGAAACATCGAGGCGAAAGGGACGCATCGAGTGGCTGCCACCCGCACGACCAACCAGGGCCGGGGACAAACTATAACCGAGGTACGTGCCCTTAGCGGGAACCGAACCCGGGTCTCTCTGGACCACAGGCCAATGCTCTAACCGCTGAGCCAAACTGGCCAGGGCTGTACCACAGCTTTTTTTTTTATCCTCACCCGAGGATACTTTTCCATTTTTTGTACAGATAGAGTGGGAGGGAGAGAGAGGAAGGGAGAGAGAGAGAGAAACATCGACGTGAAGGGACACATCGAGCGGCTGCCACCCGCACGACCAACCAGGGCCGGGTACAAACTGCAACCGAAGTACGTGCCCTTAGCGGGAACCGAACCCGGGTCTCTCCGGACCGCAGGCGGACGCTCCAACCGCCGAGCCAAACTGGCCAGGGCTGTACCACAGCTTTTTTATCCATTTGTTTACTGATGGATATTTGGGCTGTTTCCAGATCTTAGCTATTGTAAATAGTGCTGCTACGAACATGGAAGTACATATATTCTTTCTGATTGGTGTTTCAGGCTTCTGAGGGTATATTCCTAGAAGTGGGATCACTGGGTCAAATGGCAGGTCCACTTGTATTAGTTTTTTGAGGAAACACCATACTGCTTTCCATAGTGGCTGCACCAGTCTGCATTCCCACCAGCAGTGTACTAGAGTCCCCTTTTCTCCACACCCTCATGAGCACTTAATTGTTTGAGGGTTTGTTGATGGCAACCATTCTGGCAGGTGTTTGGTGATATAGTCATTTTAATTTTCTGGTTTTATTTACATGGAAAAAATTTTCCATCCCTTCACTTTCATCCTGTGTGAGTCTTCTATCCTGAGGTGGATCTCTTGTAGCCCGCATATATATGGGTCGTGTTTTCTTACCCAATCAGCTACCCTATATCTTGTGATTGGAGCATTTAATTCATTTACATTTAAGGTTACTGTTCATAGGTACATATTTGTTGCCATTTTTGTTCTTTACGCCAATGTTCCTCTCTGTCTCAATTTCTTCTTCTTACGACAATCCCTTTAACATTTCCTTACAGTGCTGGTTTGGTGGTGGTAATCTCCTTTAGCCCCCCTTTTTTTTGGTCTGCGAAGCCCTTTATTTCACCTTCAATTTTGAATGACAGCCTTGCTGGATAGAGTAGTCTTCAATTCAGTTCCTTGCTTTTGATTACTTTGTATACCTCATGCCACTCCCTTCTGGCCTGAAGTGTTTCCATTGAGCAATCAGTGACAGTCTACTGGGAGTTCCCTTAGGTTACTTTCTGTCTCTATCTTGCTGCCTTTAAGATTCTTTCTTTGCTTTTAATCTTTTTTTTTTTTTTTATCCTCACCCGAGGACATTTTTCCATTTTTTTTCAGGTAGAGTGGGGGTGGGGAGAGAGAGAGAAACATCGATGTCAAAGGAACACATCAAGTGGTTGCCACCCGCACGACCGACCAGGGCCGGGGACAAACTGCAACCGAGGTACATGCCCTTAGCGGGAACCGAACCCAGGTCTCTCTGGACCGCAGGCCGACGCTCTAACCGCTGAGCCAAACCGGCCAGGGCCTTTCTTTGCTTTTAACATCTGCCATTTTAATTATGATATGTCTAGGTGTGGGTCTTTTTGGGTTAATTTTGATTGGAACTCTGTGTTTCCTGGACTTGTGTGACTGTTTTTCTTCACCAGGTAAGGAAAGTTTTATGTCATTATTTCTTCAAATAGATTCTCTATTTGTTGCTCAGTTCTTTCTGGTACCCCTATGATGTGGATGTTGTGTTTCATGTTGTCCCAAAGCTCCCTTAAACTATCCTCCTGCTTTAAAGTATTTTTCCAATTGCTGCTATGAATGGGTGTCCTTTTCTACCTTGTCTTCTAACTCACTTATTCGGTCCTCAGCTTTTTCTAATCTGGTATTGATTCTTCTGGGTCATTCTTTTTTTAAAAAAAAAACAAACTTATCTTTATTGTTGAATGTATTCCAGATGTTCCCCCTTTCTTCCCCCAGTGACCCACTTCTTCCCAATCCTGCCCCCTTGCTGCCTTCCCCACACTCTTCTTTGTGTCCATTGGTTATGCATATATGCATAGAAGTTCTTTGGTTTATCTCTTCCTGCCCTCCCTTCCCCTTTCCCTTTGAAGTTTATCAGTCTAACAACCAATTTGTACTTCTTAATTCCTTCATCTTTTTCACTCATTTCTCCCAGAACCCTCCTATCTGGCAAGCAACAAAATTCTCTGTATCTATGAGCCTGTTTCTGTTCTGCCTGCTCATTTTGTTTGTAGATTTGATTGTTGATAGATATGTATTCATTGGCATTTTATTGTTCATATTTTTGTTCTTCTTCAAGAAGACCCGTCAACATTTCATCTAAGACTGGTTTAGTGGTGATGAACTCCTTTAGTTTTTTCTTGTCTGGGAAACTCTTTATATGGCCATCGATTCTAAATGATAGCTTTGCAGGATAGAGTAGTTTTGGTGTAGGTTGTTGCTTTTTCATCACTTTGAATATCTCTTGCCACTCTTTCTGGCCTGCAGAGTTTCTTTTGAGAAATCAGCTGGCAGTGTTATGGGAGCTTCTTTGTAGGTAACCAACTGCTTTTCTCTTGCTCCTTTTAAGATTCTCTTTGTCTTGAACCTTTTTTTTCTTTTTCTTTTTTTTGGTAAGTGCCTCTAGCAGGAACTGAACCCAGGACTCTTTGGTCTGCAGGCCGATGCTCCAACCGCTAAGACAAACCGGCCAGGGCTGTCTTAAACCTTTTACATTATGATTATGTTGTGTCTTGGTGTGGGCCTCTTGGGTTCTTCTTGTTTGGGACTCTCTGGGCTTCCTGGACTTGTGTGTCTGTTACCAGGTTAGGGAGGTTTTCAATCATTATTTCTTCAGATAGATTTTCATTTCTTTGCTTTCTCTTTTTTCTGGTACCCCTATGATGTGAATGTTGTCATGCTTGATGTTGACCCATAGGTCACTTATCATGATTTTTAAAAACTATTTTATTTTTTCATATTCATATTGGGTATTTTCTGCTTTTTCTTCCAAATTGCTGATTTGATCCTCTGCTTTATCTACTCTGCTGGTGATTCCCTATAATGTATTCCTCATTTCAGTTATTCTTCATTTCTGTTTATTTTTTATGATTTGTACCTCCATGTTTATGTTTTCTATCTTTTTGTTGAAGTTCTCACTGAGATCTCTGAGCATCCTTATAACCTGTGTTTGGAACTCTGTATCTGGTAGATTGCTTTTCTTTTTTTTTTTTTTTATCCTCACCCGAGGACACTTTTTCATTCTTTGTTCAGATAGAGCAGGAGGGAGAGAGAGAGAGAGAAACATCGATGTGAAAGGGACACATCGAGTGGCTGCCACCCGCACGACCAACCAGGACCGGGGACAAACTGCAACCGAGGTACATGCCCTTAGCGGGAACCGAACCCAGGTCTCTCCGGACCGCAGGCCGACGCTCTAACCGCTGAGCCAAACCGGCCAGGGCTAGATTGCTTTTCTTCATTCTTTTTTTTTAAGTTCTTTTTTTTTGGAGCATATTTTGTTTTTTTATTTGGGTCATTTTTTTTGTCTCCTCATTTTGAATGTGTCCCTGTGTTTGTTTCTTTGTGTTAGTTAGAGCTAGCTCCTGGTCTTGGTAGAGTGGCCTAATGTAGCAGTAATCTTGTAGGGCCCAGTGGTGGGGCCTTCCTGATTGCCTGCCCTGGGCACTCCAGGTGCACCCCCTGTGGGCTGTGGACACCTTCCTGTGATAGTGGAACCTTGATTGCTTTTGAAATGTCATTTCGAGGAGTTTGCCCCAGGCTGTGGGTTGCAAGGACTGGTTGCAACCAGTTCTAACCGCAGACAAGGAACTGTTTGCAGGGACCAGCCTGATGGAGCACTGCTCACCTCAGCAGGGCCCTGGTGCTGGATGCGCTCACCCCTGGAGTGCTGCTCATGGAGTGTTTGGGTGGTGTACTTGCATGGTCTGAAATTGACTACCAGTTGCACTGGCTCTGGGTCCTACCGGGAAGTATAAGCCAAGGTCAGCTGCCACATGTACCTGCCCTGGGCTCCCAGCATGACCTACAAAGCCATCTGAAGATGGCTGCTGCTGTGCTGGGCTCGGAGGAGCCTACGAGAGACCACCTACCTGCCATGGCCAGCTGCTGCTGTGCTGGGCTCGGAAGAGCCTAAGAGAGACCACCTACCCGCCCTGGCCAGCTGCTACTGTGCTGGGCTCGGAGCCACTTAGCAAAAAGCACAGGATATGCCTAGGCTGCTTGTTTGGGGTTTGTGAACCTTCAGAAGATTTCAGGGATATCTGTAGCATGAACTTAGGTGGACCGTTTGTATGGAAAAGACATTGGAAATGGCCTGAGTAGGTGTGTAGGTTGGGTGGGGAGGAGTCTCAGGGGATTACTGGGAGGGGGTGGACAGTGTTAGTCAGTTAGTGGAGACTCAGACATGGCGCCTGCTTGCAGCTCTGTGGATAGATGCTCAGAAAGGGAACAATGGCCTCTGTGACCACTTCTGTCTGGGAGAAAGCTGCCTTTCAGCACTCACTCTGATGCCAGACACTTCAGTTCCTGCCCATGTCTCTGACGGGCCTTTCGAGTGGCTGCCCCAGTGCTGGAGCTCAGAGGGAGTGAGTCTGGGTGAGTCTGTTCCAGGTCCATTAAGTGGAGCACCTGGGGTGCCAGCCGCCTTCGTCGCAGCCTCAGTCCCCACTGGCGTTCACAGATGAAGGTTATGGGGATTCTTTTCTTGTCACTGGGGTCCTGGCCTGCGGGGCTTGGTCTGGGGCCATTTCCCCTCACTCCTCAGAGGGACCTCCGTAGCTGAGGTCTCCCTTTCGATTCTTCCAGTGCTGCGTGTGTGTGGGGCCAGTATGTTTCGTGTGTCCTGCCCTCTGATCAGCCTTGTCACAGAGGCCCTGCTGTTTCACTCATTGCCTTGACGCACAGGGTTCCAGTGTCTTCACATCCTCACCAGCACTTTTGTTGTTGTATAGTGGAGGATATAGATTGAAAAGTTCTGGTTTTTTTAATTCATCTTTTTTTCTTTTTTTAATTTTAATTTTTTTAATCCTCACCCAAGGATATTTTTCCATTATCGTCAGACAGAGTGGGAGGGAGGGAGGGAAAGAGGGAGAAGGGAGGAACAGAGAGACATCAGTGTGAAAGAGACACATCAACTGGTTGCCTCCCGCACGACCCTGACCAGGGCTGGGGATGCTGAACCGCAACTGAGGTATGTGCCCTTGACTGGAATTGAACCCATGACTCACTGGTCTGCGGGCCGATGCTCTAACCGCTGAGCCACACCGGCCAGGGCTCCTTCATCTTTTTCTTCCAGCGTCATGCTGCAAGGTTCAAAATGCACGTTCAGTCAGGTGTTGACCTCAATAACTGCCAGAGTGGTCTCTCTGCCAGTGGTCAGTGATACGGTGAGGGGTCTTTTTCTTACAGACAATGGACTCCGTCTTACTTCAGTGGCTCTGGAGTGACGCTCCTTGTTCTGGCCTGTGACTTCCCTGACGCAGGCAGGAGGGTCCACGACGGAGCCGCCATGTCCTACACAGCACCTCGTCTCTGGGGAGGGGCAGGGGCAGCCCCTTGGAGTCCTTGTGGACAGTAAATGATTGTCAGATGGGGCACGAAAGACTTGCCTTTCCTCACCTGGAGATGGCTCTGGGCGTGTCCTGGTGAATTTAGGGAAATAAGGTAGTTATGGGGCTGCCAAATGATTGCTTCCGAAATTACTAGGCTTCTCAGAATTACCTTCCCTGCCTGGGGCTTTTCATGGATGCCAGGGCTGCTCCAGCTTGGAGCTCTCATTCGCGACCTGCCTGCAGCTGGGAGGCTGCCCTCAGCGTTCTGAAGCTCGGCCGTGGGCTCTTCGGCTGTGGTGCTCTGAGCCTTGCTGAAGTTGCTTGCTGGCCTGCTTACCTGATTCACAGAACCACGTGTCCCTGGACATGCTTTGTGGCGCTGTTGACACATCACAGGAAACACGGCCTGCATTTTACATGCTTTGAATTAGTATTGAGAAGTACCAAAGAGGTGATTTGTTCTGGTTGTTTGGTTTAGTGGGAAAGTGTATAGGCATGATTCTAGTTCAGATATATTCACAAGTGTTCTTTTAGAGTTCTTAGGGTTTAGTCCTTAGTTCAACAGATTGGAGCACTTTTTAAATCTTGTGGTTTAGTTCAAGATCTTCTTTGGTTAGAAATCAACTTTAGAACAGGTGGGAAAAGCGGAAATGCTTTTCTTGTTGTTTACCAAACTATTGATTGTAATAGTGAAATAGGAAACAACCTAGATATTCAGTAGCTGATTGATTGGTTAAATAGATTATGATGTACCCATAAATATAATATTGTGTAGTCATTGGCAATATTGATGTGCTCCTATATTTGTTATCAACTAAACAGTGTTTTTTTTTATTGCTACATGAACAAACAGGTTATTAGATAATATAATCCTACTTTTGTGTATATATATTTATTTAAATATATAGAATAATTATGAACCAAAATGTTTAGTGATTATTTCTTGATAATGGTATTGTTTATGTCTCAGTTTTCCCCTTATATATTTTTCCCTGAATGTTTTTCCAGTGCATCATTACTCTAATATTTGTAAAAAGTACTAACGTTACTAAGAAAAGAATGTGAGCCCTGGTCAGTGTGGCTCACTTGTTTGGAGTATTGTCCTGTGAACCGAAGGGCACACAGCCGGGTTGTGAGTTTGATCCCCAGTTGAGGTGCATGCAGGAGGCAACTGATTGATCTTTCTCTCTCATGTCTATGTTTCTCTCTCTCTAAAATCAATGAAAAACATTCTTGTGTAAGAATTTTAAAAAAAGATGAGGATGAGAGAGAATGTCAATAACAGGACTGCCAGTCTTTTTTTTTTATCCTCATCGAGGACGTTTTTTCATTTTTGTTCAGATAGAGTAGGAGGGGGGAGTGGAGAGAGAGAGAAACATTGACGTGAAAGGGACACATCGAGTGGCTGCCTCCCGCACAACCCCAACCAGGGCCGGAGACAAACTGTAGCCAAGGTACTTGCCCTTAGCGGGAACCGAACCTGGGTCTCTCTGGACCGCGGGCTGACACTCTAACCTCTGAGCCAAACTGGCCAGGGCTGACTGCCAGTCTTTTATGGGCCGGACCACGAGCTGGATCCTTTACATGTGTAGGCAGTACAGTGTTGACGAAGGCTGTGCAAAACAGGCGTCATCTCCTTTCACACAGGGCAAAGTCACTACCTTCCCCAAAGTTAAGAATGCATCATCATTCTCCAAGTCAGTACTTTTCTCATGTATGTTGGTACAAAGTTCTCCTTCCTTCAAACTGTCTTGTTGGCATTCAGTACATTGGCTGGTTATGTTATGTTTATGTTTAGCAATAATTGGAAAAACCTTCAGTGTAAAGAGATGCTGAATTTCTACCAACCCTGCCTTTCAGGGCAAGTGACTTGGTAATGAAGGTGGATGCTCTCCTGTCGGCTCAACCAAAAGGCGATGCAAGAATCGAGTACCAGTTTTTTGAAGACAGACACAGGTATAGCAATGATGTTGGATTCGTGTGTGTTTTTGAATATTAAATGCTTTTTTTTTTTCAGTGAAGTTGAATGTTTTATTATTAAACTATTTCTTGTTTTCCTACAAGGTGGTTGCTTTTCTGTTTAACAGTAGCACCAGCAAGTGCAGTGTGTTACGAAATTAACACAGTTTTGTTCATCGTCTGACACTCTACAGCTGACAAAAACTTTTCTCCGCTGCTGGTTATTGCCAATGGAAAGGTCATTCAGTATTCTGAAAGTTACACTGTTACATAAGGCTTAAAATAACAATGTTAGCCTTTTTTTTTTTTTTTGGTATGTGCCCCTAGCGGAAACCGAACCCGGGACTCTCTGGTCCGCAGGCCGACGCGCCGACGCTCCAACTGCTGAGCCAAACCAGCCAGAGCTGTTATCCTTGAATTACATAATTTTTATAACTAGATTTACCACAGATAATTTCAGGAATTCTGAGTGATATCATTGTAGCCTAGCCTAAAAACCATAAGGTGTAGAGAAAAAGATGCATATTTTGTTTATCTGCAGTCATTAGAAAGTGAAGGGGTATTTTCTTCTAGTAGCCATTGTTGTAAGTGCTTTCCTTTTCCACTGGCATTATTAAAAGTTGCTATCTCCTGTCCACCACTGATTTAAGACAACCATGCTACATTACGTTGTTTCATGCTTTGTTTAGGGGGTTCCATTTTCACTCCTCGGTAGATTTTATGTTTTTCTCATATACTTCTTCATTTATCAGTTCGTTGAGTTCTGAAGGGTTTCTGTGTCCTCTTGGTCAGCCAGCCCTCTTCATGACAAGATCTGTTGACAGGTCCTGGGTTTTCTGCACAAACTTCATTAATTTCAGTTACTTGTCCTGACAGAAGAGAATAGAGTTCACGAGCGGCTTTCACACTTTCCAAATCACCAAACCCGTCTTGTTCACTTTTGTTCCAACTTCAGACTAATTACAGTCAGCAGTAGCCCCAGAGCTTCCTGAGTGACACAGCCGATCCCCACCGTTGCAATGCCGTTTTCTGTCATTCACTCACGTCTCTGTGAGCCTGTGCATAGGGACAGGCAGCTGCCCGCAGCGCCATCTCCAGTGAAGTCTTAAGGTTGCCTTCCACTCAGACCATGTGTTTTCATGTGAAGTGTGTATGCATGTTCCTGTGTGAATGAAAGTTCTGGCCTACGGTTTTCATGTATTTATATTCAGACCCACATGTAAAACTCATGCAGATCTCAGCTGCGCCACAGTTCACATTTATTTCTAAATATGTCTGAAACAGTTCTGAAGGCAGCTTTTAGACAACAAAGCGCTTAATGGAGCAGATCAACTATAATTTCTGATCCTCAAGAATAAACAGTTTGTTAGAGCACCTATCTTGTTCACTTTTATTGAAAACTTTTGTTTTCAATAAAATAAAAATAAGTTTAGCATTATGAGGAAGTCTTTGCCTTTTTTCTCCAGCTTTTTATTTGGAAAAGTTTCAAGCCAAGAGAATAGTTGAAAGACTGTTACAGTGAACACCCTAATATGTCCAGCCTAGATTCTCTGCAGGTGCAACGGTCTCTGTCGGCAGGCGAGGGGCTGCAAGGGACCTGCCACAGGTAGTGGGTTGGGGTGGTGAGAGTTTAGGGTGATTTATTTTTCTTTTCTCTGTTCTGCAAGTTTTCTGTAATTTTATTAAATTCCTTTTATTATGTAAAACTGATTTTTTTTTTTGTCTCCTCATAACTTTTTGCCATGAAATAAAAATTGGCATAATAGTTTGTAAATGTTAAAAATAAATATCAGAAGCTTTTAGCAGTTTTTGGCTATATATAATTTCAAGCTGGTTTTTCTCTCTTAACCCACATTTTTTTGATCCATTTTCAGTGAACTTGAGTCATTGGAGGGTTTTGTAAACTCCGAGTTAGACGTAATCATATTTTTGACCACAACATAGCCTTGCGTTCTACAGCTAAGGATTTTTTAAATGCTAAGAGGGTTGATAGATTATGTTGAACCCTGCCCTGTCCCCAGTGCTGCAAGAACAAATTTACTTGTTTTTTTGCCAGATTAATGTTTAATCTTTCAATCTCTACAGTGCAATTAAACTAAGGCCGAAAGAAGGAGAGACGTACTTCGATGTCGTGGCTGTCATTGACCCTGTCACCAGAGAATCACAGAGACTTGCTCCATTGCTCCTGGTAGGGACTGCCACAGAGGCAGTACTCTCCATCTTCATGTGAAGTGATCACGCGCCTGGGTTCTCTCAGGTCGTTATGTCCCCTTAGTGTCCTCAGAGGGCGTTGGAGACCGTCTGAGGCACCTTGGGCGAGCTGATACTTCACAAAGATTGGTAATGGCTCTGAAAATAGCTTCGTAACCTAAGTTGGTACAGGTTTAGCTCATGAATGAAGAAAAAAATTATCCTTAGAGTAAAATGTCTTTGAATTAAATTGATATATGCCATATTTTAATTTATAATGGTGAAGAGGTAAAATAATTGTGTGTTATTATTTCCTCTTTCATAACTAGCATGCCTTTTAGATAGATATGAGACACTACGATTTTGAGAAAATTTAAAAGAGCCCGCCTAAAACACAGCTGCTTCAACTGTTGTTTTGCACTGTATTTTTTTAAACACAAAATTTTAATGAAGTATAATTGACTAACCTTTTTTGTGGGTATTTACATATGTGTGTGTTTTTGTACCATAGCTGCACTTATGTAAGCTGCACTAATGAAGCTGTGACGTTTCCCTGGTGTAGACAGACAGCTGTTCATTCTCTGCCTGCTGCTGCATGCCTGGGGGGCAGTGATTCGCAGTGCGAGCGGCAGTGTGTGTGATTCAGATTGTGCATGGAACTGCAGTGCGAGCGGCAGTGTGTGGGATTCAGATTGTGCATGGAACTGCAGTGCGAGCGGCAGTGTGTGGGATTCAGATTGTGCATGGAACTGCAGTGCGAGCGGCAGTGTGTGTGATTCAGATTGTGCATGGAACTGCAGTGCGAGCGGCAGTGTGTGTGATTCAGATTGTGCATGGAACTGCAGTGCGAGCGGTAGTGTGTGTGATTCAGATTGTGCATGGAACTGCAGTGCGAGCGGCAGTGTGTGGGATTCAGATTGTGCATGGAACTGCAGTGCGAGCGGCAGTGTGTGTGATTCAGATTGTGCATGGAACTGCAGTGCGAGCGGCAGTGTGTGTGATTCAGATTGTGCATGGAACTGTATCTTTTCTTGAGATATTAAGAATGTTCTCTTAACTCAGTACTAAGTGATAAGTTTATGTTTTGTCCTCTGGTTGCTTTCCTAGGTGTTAACTCAGCTGATCAACATGAATCTAAGAGTGTTTATGAACTGCCAATCCAAACTTTCTGACATGCCTTTGAAAAGGTAAAACAAGCTCTTTAAGAAATGAGCAATTGAAAAAAATCTAAAAGCTGGGTTTACAGATGGGCCATCATATCTGAAAAAAACCATTCACTGGATGCTTAGTTTTGCTTACTTTCTGCTCTCATCAGGAATTGAGAGAATCACTGGGTGTGGGAGCCCTGAGGTGGTGCTCACCCAGCCTCCTGCCCTGCTGCTTCTCTCTCTCTCTCTCTCTCTCTCTCTCTCTCTCTCTCTCTCTCTCTCTCTGTTTGCTCAGAACTACACAGTTCTCATGGGATCGATGTAGCTATTAAATTTACCTTGGTAGTTGAAATGTGCTGAGCTGAGAAAAGACTTGTCTGAACTTTTTTATCCTAAAAGAAGAGCAGTTGTCCAGGTGGAGTACCTGTGTCAGGACACCTGCTCGCTTGCAGGCATCTGGGAAAGGGGAGCAGACATACCTGTGAGCTCTAAAAGGGTCATTTATGAGAAAAGGTAGGAAAAGCATTGAATAGTAATAATGTAGTACATGTTAGAGCTGTGAGAAATTTCTACTTACAAATGTGCTGTGTTTTAATTATTTTATTTTTGTTACAGATGTTTCTTCTTTTTTCCCAATTGACACCCTCCTCCCCATCCACCCCACCCTGTCCCTGGCTTTGTTGTCCGTGTCCATTGGTTATGCGTACATGCATATAAGTTCAGTGGTTTATCTCTTCCCTCCCCCCACTACCCCCTCTTCTGAGGGTTGTCAGTCTGTACCCTACTTCCACGTCTCTGGGTCTACCCTATTCCTCAGACTGTTAAGTTCAATATATTCCACAAATAAGTGAGATCATGTGGTATTTGTGTTTTTCTGCTTGGCTTGTTTCGCTTAGGATAATACTTTTTCCAGGTTCCTCCATGTTGTCTCAAAGGATAAGAGATCTTTCTTTCTTACAGCTGCATAGTACTCTATTGTGTATATGTACCACAGCTTTTTTACCCATTAGTCTACTGATGGTCACTTGGGCTGTTTCCAGATCTTAGCTATTGTAAATAGTGCTGCTATGAACATGGGGATACATATATTCTTTCTGATTGGTGTTTCAGGCTTCTTAGGGTATATTCCTAGAAGTGGGATCAGTGGGTAAAATTTTTAATTTTTAATTTTTTGAGGTAACACCATATTGTATTCCATAGTGGTGCATCAGTCTGCATTACTACCAGCAGTGTACTAGAGTCCCCTTTTCTCCACACCCTCACCAATATTTGTTGTTTGATGATTTGTTGATGGTGGCCATTCTGACAGGTGTGAGGTGATACCTCATTGTTGTTTTAATTTGCATCTCTCTGATGATTAGTGATGTTGACATTTCTTCATATATCTCTTGGCCATTTGTATCTTCCATTTGGAGAGGTGTCTATTTAGTTCCTCTGCCCATTTTTAAATTGGGTTCTTTGTCTTCCTTTTGTTGAGTTGTACGAGCACTCTATATATATTGGAAATTAACCCCTTATCTGATGTACCATTGGCAATTAAGCTCTCCCATATAGTGGGTTGCCTTTCCATTTTCATGGTTGTATCTTTTGCTGTGCAGAAACTTTTGAGTTTGATGTAGTCCCATGTGTTCATTTTCTCCATTGTTTCTATTGCCTTAGGTGATGTATCAGTGAAAATTCTGCTGTGTATGATGTCTGAAATTTTGTTGCCTACATTTTCTTCTAGGATTTTTATGGATTCACAAGTCACATTTAAGTCTTTTATCTATTTTGAGTTTATCCTTGTGTATGGTGTAAGTTGATGGTCTAGTTTCATTTCTTTGCATGTAGCTGTTCAATTCTCCCAACACCATTTATTAAAGAGGCTCTTTTTACTCCACTGTAGGCTCTTGCCACCTTTTTCAAATATTTATTTTTTATTTTTTAACCTCACTCGAGGAAACTTTTCTATATTTTGTTCAGATAGAGTGGGAGAGGGAGAGAGAGAGAGAAACATCAACGTGAAAGGGTCACATTGAGTGGTTGCCACCCGCACAACCCAAGCAGGGCCGGGACAAACCGCAACCAAGGTAGGTGCCCTTAGTGGGAACCGAACCCAGGTCTCTCTGGACTGCAGGCCGATGCTCTAACTGCTGAGCCAAACCGGCTAGGGCACTTTTGTCAAATAATTGAGCATATTTCCTTGGGTTCATTTCTGGATTCTCTGTTCTGTTCCACTGGTCTGTATACCTGTTCTTGTGCCAGTACCAGGCTGTTTTGATTACAGTGGCTTTGTAGTATAGCCTGAAATCTGGTAATGTGATCCCTCCAACTTTGTTCTTTTTTAAGATTGCTGTGGCTTTTCGGGATCTTTTTTGGTTCCATATGAACTGTTGAAGTATTTGTTCTAGTTCTGTGAAATATGTCATTGGTATTTAGATGGGGATTGCATTGAATGTATAGATTGCTTTGGGCAGTATGGACATTTTAATGACATTAATTCTTCCAATCCATGAACAAGGTATGTGCTTCCACTTTTTTATATCTTCCTCTATTTCTTTTACAATGACCTGTGGTTTTCTGCAAATATGTTCTTTAGTTTTTTGGTTAAGTTTATTCCTAGGTATCTTAATTTTTTTGCCGTGATATTAAATGGGATTGTTTTTAAGTTTCCCTTTCTGTGAGTTCATCATTGGTTATAAGAATGCCATTGATTTCTTGATGTTAATTCTGTATCCTGCTACTTTGCCAAATTCATTTATTAAGTCTAGTAAATTTTTGATGGAGGTTTTGGGGTTTTCTACGTATTATATCATGTTATCTGTGAATAGTGACAGTTTCACCTCCTCCTTTCCGTTTTGGATCCCTTTTATTTTTTTCTCCTATCTGATTGCTGTGGCTAAGACTTCCAGTAATGTGTTAAATAAGAGTGGCGAAAGTTGGCATCCTTGTCTTGTTCCTGTTCTTAAGGAAAATACTTTTAATTTTTGCCCATTGAGTATGATGTTGGCTGTAGACCTTTCATATATGGCCTTTATTATGTCGAGATATGATCCCTCTATTCCCAGATTGCTGAGCGTTTTTATCAGAAATGGGTGCTGGATTTTGTTTAATGCTTTTTCAGTGTCTATTGATATGATCATACGATTTTTATCTTTCATTTTGTTTATGTGGTGTATCACATTTATTGATTTGTGAATGTTGTACCAGCCTTGCATCCCTGGGATGAATCCCACTCCGTCATGGTGCATAATTTTTTTGATGTATTGCTGGATTCAATTTGCTAGTATTTTGTTCAGGATTTTGGCATCTATGTTCATCAGGGATATTGGCCTGTAGTTTTCTTTCTTTGTAGTGTCTTTTTCTGGTTTTGAAATTAGAATTATGCTGGCCTCATAAAATGAGTTTGGAAGTCTTCCTTCATCTTGAATTTTTTGAAATAGTTTGAGGAGAATGGGTATTAGTTTTCTTTAAATATTTGGTAAAATTCCCCCGTGAAGCCATCCAGGCCTGGGCATTTGTTTACTGGGAGAGTCTTGATTACCTCTTCAATTTCCTTAGTTGTTATTGGTCTGTTCAAGTTTTCTATCTCTTCCCGGTTCAGTTTTGGGAGACTGTGTGTTTCTAGAAATTTGTCCATATTGCTTAGATTGTCGAATTTGTTACCGTATAATTGTTTATAATTATTTATTAACAATCCTTGGTATTTCTGTGGTGTCAGTTATTATTTCTCCTCTTTCATTTGTGACTTTGTGTATTTGGGTTCTCTTTCTTTGTTTCTTGGTGCGTCTAGCTAAGGGTACATCAATCTTGTTTGTCTTTTCAAAGAACCAGCTCTTTGTTTCTTTGATCCTTTGAATTGTTGTTTTGGTTTTCATGTCATTTATTTCTGCTCTGATCTTTACTATTTCCTTCCTTCTACTTGCTCTGGTGTTTTCTTTCTGTTTGCTTTTTAGTTCTTTGAGTTGTGAGGTTAGTCTAGTAGAAATTTTTTTTGCTTCTTGAGGTAGGCCTGTAGTGCTATGAACTTCCCTCTCAGAGTGGCTTTCATTGCATCCCATAGCTTTTGTGTTGTGTGTTCATTTTCATTGGTTTCCAGGAATTTTTAAATTTCTTCCTTGATCTCCATGGTAACCCATTCATTGTTCAATAACATGCTATTTAGCCTCCATGTGTTCAAATGTCTTTGCATGTTCTTGCCGCAATTGATTTCTAGTTTCATGCCATTGTGATCTGAGAAGATGCTTGATATGATTTCAATCTTCTTGAACTTGTAGAGACCTAGTTTGTGCCCTAACATGTGGTCTATCTTTGAGAATGTCCCATGTGCACTTGAGAAGAATGTGAATTCTGTAGTTTTGGGTTGTAATTCTCTGTAGATATTTGTTAAATCCATTTGATCTAGCCTTTCATTTAGAGTCTGTGTTTCCTTGTTAATTATTTGTCTAGAAGATCTATCCAGTGATGTCAGCGGGGTATTGAAGTCCCCTGCTATGATTGTATTGCTGTTGATTTCTCTTTTGACGTCCTCCAAAAGATTTTTAATATATGTTGGTGCTCCTATATTGGGTGCATATATCTATACCAAGGTTATATTTTCATGTTGGATAGATCCTTTCAATATTATGTAGTGGCCTTCTTTTTCTCTAGTTATAGCCTTCATTTTGAAATCTACTTTATCAGATATGAGTATTGCTACCCCAGCTTTTTTTTGCTTTCTGTTTGCTTGAAGGATTTTTTTCCATCTCTTCACTTCCAACCTATGTAAGTCTTTTGTTGTGAGGCAGGTTTCTTGTAAACAACATATATGTGAGTCATGCTTTCTTATTCAGTCAGCTACTCTGTGTCTTTTTATTGAAGCATTCAAACCATTCACATTTAAGGTGATAATTGATATGTACTTATTTATTGCCATTTTTGTTTAGCGTGGTTATATTTTTCTTCCTATTTCTTCTACTAATTACAGCAGTCTTTGTAGCATATCTGGCAGTGCTGGTTTGGTGTTAATATATTTTCTTAGCCTTTTTTTTAGTCTGGAAAGCTCTTTATTTGACCTTCTATTTTGAATGATAGCTTTGCTGAATAGAGTAGTCTTGGATTCAGATCCTTGTTTTTCATGACCTTGATTACTTCATGCCACTCCCTTCTGGTCTGTAGTGTTTCTGTTGAGAAGTCAACTGAGAGCCTTATGGGGTTTCTTTTGTAGGTAACCTGTTGCTTATCTCGCTGCCTTTAGGATTCTCTCTTTGTCTTTAATTTTTGGCATTTTAATTACTGTGTGTTTTGGTGTGGGCCTGTTTGGGTTCTTCTTACTTGGCGCTCTCTGTGCCTCTTGAACTTGAATGCCTTCTTCCTTCACCAAGTTAGGAAAGTTTTCTGTCTGTATTTCTTCAAATATATTCTCTAACCCTTGCCCATTTTCTTCCTGTTCGGGGACTCCTATGATGCGAATGTTACTGCGTTTCCAATTTTCCCAAAGTTCTCTTAAGCTGTCTTCCTGTTTTTAAATTGTTTTTTTCCTTTTGGTTTTCTGATTGGTTGATTTTTTTTCTACCCTGTCTTCTAATTCACTGATCCGGTTCTCAGCTTCCTCTGCTCTGCTGGTTAGTCCTTCCAATGTGTTCTAAATTTCTTCTATGTCATTGTTCTTTTCTAGTTAATTGTTTTTCATTGTTTCTATATCATTATTCATGGTGCTGATGTCCTTACTCATGCTGTTGAGCTTCCTCAAGACCATGGCTCTGAACTCTACCTCTGATAATTTGCTTAGCTACATTTCATTGATCTCATCTTCAACAGAGTTCTCTTGTTCTTTCATTTGGGATTTGTTTCTTTGTTTCACCATTTTGGCTCTCTCATTGGGTTTTGGAGCCTCCCAAATTTTTCCTGTGGATGTTGGTCTTCTGCTGTTTGTGGCTTCCTCTACTGGGTTTGACTGAGTCTGGATGGGCCCACGTTAAACACCAATGTCAAGTCTTACTTTCCTGATCAGAGTTGCAAGCCCAGGAAAGGTTCAGTTATCCTCTAGCATTTTCCTGGAGGCTAGTAGTCTCAGTTACTCAGGGCCTTGGAATGTAGCCCTGCTGTTCTGCATAAGAGGATTTCCAGAGGGTGGGATAGATGCTGGTTTTTAATGAGCCTCAGTTTGCATTCCTTTGCCTCACCTGGGATAGGCTGAATCTCAGGGTTGGGGGTGGGGGGTGAGGCAGCTGCTGCTTTTCCCCACAGCTCTGGGAAGGAGCACACTGGCCACCATCCTTTGTGGCTGCAACTCAGCAAAAACTCTGAGTGCCCTCCAAATCCCGGGTGTCCCCACAGAGTTCCAACCCAGTCTGTCCTTCCTCTGCTGTAGCCCCCAGGTGAGTGGCTGTGGCTATTTTAGTGCTCTGTCCCGGGTCTCTGCACTGTGGAGTGGGCTTGGTCTTTATTCCCCAAGGGCGCTGCTCACAGCTAAGACTGCTGCTGTCCGTGGGCTCCGAGCCTGCCACCCTCTTGAGCCTCTGCAGATCCTATGAGTGTCCCTGGTTATAGGTCCTGACCTGCTGCTTTTCTGTTGCTTTTTTCTAAGGTTTTGTCTTAATTTTAGTTGTAATTCCTGTTTGGTCCTGGGAGATCGTCTGCGTAGCTTCTATTCACTCCATCTCCATTTTCACATCCTCTATGCCTATCTTGTGAGCAGCTGGGTCGCACAGGCCTTTCTGGTGCCCCACACCCTGCAGGTCCTGCTGGTAACTCGATCGCACAGTCCCTTTGGAGACCAGGCTCTATGGCTCTGCTTTGGGCTGCTGGGTCACACAGGCCTCTCTGGTGCTTCAGCACCCCACAGGCCCCTTGTGTAACTGGATTGCACAGGCCTCTCTGGTGCCCCTGCACCCTGCAGTTCCCGCGGGCGGGCAGGTGGATTGCTCCAGTCTCTCTGGGGCTCTGGGTTCCCACTGCTCTTGTGGGCTACTGGACCTCACAGGCCTTTGTGGAGCCCCAGGTTTTGCCACTGGTGGCTGGGGAGTGCTGCTCCCCTGTGGGGCTCAACTCCTGCTCAGCTTTTGCTGTAGTTATTGGGGATGGGTCTCAGCTGCTGGATTGTGCTTCTGTTGCCTGGGGATGGATGTCTGCTCCCCAGCCTCTGTTGTTGGGCTAATATCTGGACTCTGATCGGGCTGCTACTATGGCGGATGGTGCTGGGCTCCAAGTTGTCTGCGGCTTCTTCCACCAGCACCTTGGGGGCTCCACTACTGTACACTGGTCTGTATTGACACACAGTGTCCACTGGTCCGATGGTGCCAGGTGAGCTGGTGGGCTCAGGTTGCTGGGTCCTAGCCGCTCCCACTGCCTCCTCCCAGGGAAGACCTGGGATCTTCCTAAATGGTGGGACTTCCCTGTGGGGCAGGGAGAAGCGCCCTGAAGGGCCACTTATCTGGTAGCTGGCTGCTCCGTCCACAGCACAGGAACCTTCTGCTCCATGTCTCTGCACTACTTGGGTTTGGTCGTCCACCTTCACGTCCACTCACACTGTCTCACACACTCGCTCACTCTCTCACACACTCACCCTCCCTCCAGTCCTGCCCTCCACCATCTCCTGGCTTTGGTATCTTAATTTTTTTGCCGCGATGGTAAATGGGATGTTTTTTCAGTTTCTCTTTCTGTGAGTTCATCGTTGGTGTATAAAAATGCCATTGATTTCTTGATGTTAATTTTGTATCCTCCTACTTGTGTTTTGTACGTTAGATTCTAAGTGAATTTAAACAGGGTTTGAAAGGAACAAAAGAGTTCCCAGCTTCCACCACTGTCCTTGTTCAGGAGAAATGTTTAAATTGTTACATATAGTGTTTTCAGGGCTTATCTGAGAACCCAATCACCAGTTAGGATTTTTTTTTTTTTTTTTTAATCCTCACCCGAGGACATTTTTCCATTTTTGGTACAGATAGAGTGGGAGGGAGAGAGAGGAAGAGAGAGAGAGGGAAACATCGACGTGAAAGGGACACATCGAGTGGCCGCCACCCGCACGACCAACCAGGGGCTGGGGACAAACTGCAACCGAGGTACCTGTCCTTAGCGGGAACTGAACCCGGGTCTCTCCGGACCGCAGGCGGACGGACGCTCCAACCGCTGAGCCAAACCGGCCAGGGCCCAGTTAGGATTTTGTAAGAGAAAAATGAGGATTTCTCACTGAAGAGAAGCAATCATTCAGGAAATGCCTGCGACCCCAGTAGCAGCCAGTCCCAACAGCACAGGACGGGGGGAGCTCCTTCTCAGTCCTGTCCGTCTGGCTGCGCTTCTGTGTCTGCAGCACCACAGGAGGTTTTAGTTAGGTCCAGAAATGGTTTTGGAAGCACTGTCCCAGTGTGGGAGGGAACCCTTCCAAGTCTAGTTTGTGATAAGCCAGTTGTTTACCTTTACGAAAGCTGTGATCTCAAGGGCTATGGTTGATTGTATTAAAGAACAAAAAAACTAACATTTTTCTTTTTAATTTCAGCTTTTACCGTTATGTCTTAGAACCAGAGATTTCCTTCACTTCAGACAGCAGTTTTGCTCAGGGTCCAATAGCCAAGTTTTTGGATATGCCGCAGTCCCCTCTGTTCACTCTGAACTTGAACACGCCCGAGAGCTGGATGGTGGAGCCTGTGAGAACACCATATGATCTGGATAATATTTATTTGGAAGAGGTAAGAGTGTCATTGCTTCCACGTGTTTAACCATGTGTAGAACCTGCTCTAGATGTAGTGCTGATCGTCTCTGGCTGGACAGACTAGATCACAGTCTTGGCAGGCCTATGAGATCTCAATATTCAGGCATAATTATATTCTTAAAAATAACAACTTCATTGAGATCTAATTCACATACCATAAAATTCACCCTTTTAAAATGTGCAGTTCAGCCCAGCCAGTGTGGCTCAGGGGATTGAGCATTGTACCATGCACCAAGAGATCACCAGTTTGATTCCCGGTCAGGGTACATGCTTGGGTTGTGGACTCCATCCCCAGTATGGGGCATGCAGGAGGTGGCCCATTGATGTTCTTTCTCATCAATGTTTCTGTCTCTCTCTCCCCCTCTCCCTTCTTTGCCTAAAAAAAAAAAAAAAAAGGCAATGAAAGCATATTTTTTTGTAAAAATTGGACTAAGAGCCCCAGGATTTTAAAACATTAATCCAATCACTCATGACTCTGTTTTGATTTTCTGTTTTATCTTGTCAGTTTTAGAGTGTTTGTGTCTTAGGAATTTATCATTCTACCTAGGTTATCTAATTTGTTGGCATACGGTATTCATGACATTTTCCCATGTGTTTTGTACCTCAGTAGTGATGTGTGCTGTGTCCTTGCTGATTTGAGTAAGCTGGCTTTGCGCTCTCCCCGGTCATGCGAACAGTTCATCAGTTTGTTGGCCTTTTTGAAGAACTAGCTTTTGGCTTCATTGATTTATTTTTCTTTCTTTTTTTGTTTTTCCTTTTATTTATTTGTATTACTAATTTTTTTTTATCCTCACCTGAGAGCATTTTTGCATTTATCTTCAGATAGAGTGGGAGGGAAGGAGAGAGAGAGAAACATTGATGTGAGAGAGACACATCGACTGGTTGCTTCCCACATGACCCCAACCAGGGCCGGGGACAAACTGCAACCGAGGTATATGCCTTTAGCGGGAACTGAACCTGGGTTTCTCTGGTCTGCTGGCCGACGCTCTAACCGCTTAGCAAACCAGCCAGGGCCCATGTAACTATTTTGAGTCTCTAAGGTAAGTGGTCCTTTTCCCCTAATTCGTTTTCAGAGATAAAATGCTCACAGGTATAATTTCACTGATCTCTCTTCATCGCCCTCACTCCCTATACCTAACACAGAGTGTTTTAACAAAGGAATAAAAAGACATGGTCTTTACTTTCTTTTTCTTCTTCAGTTTTTATTAATTTACTTTTGTTACAGATGTTTCTTCTTTTTTCCCCCTAGACGCCCTCCTCCCCATCCCGGCCCCCCACCCACCCCAGAACTGTTGTCTATGTCCATTGGTTACACATACATGTCTATAAGTTCTTTGGTTTATCTCATCCTTCTCCCTGGCCCCCTCCTCTGAAGTCTGTCAGTCTGAACTGTACTGCTTTCTATGTCTCTGGGTCTATTTTGTTCATCAGCTTATTTTGTTCATTATATTCCACAAATAAGTGTCTTTCTCTGACTGGCTTATTTAGCCCAGCATAATGCTCTCTAGGTCCCTCCAAACTTTCAAGAACCTTTTAAAACCTCTCAGAGCCTCCTTCCCTTTTCAGACATTTGTCTGTCTGTCCTACGTGTCTCCTGCTGCAGCTGAAGCCTGTTCCTGGTTCTGTCTTCCTGGGGTGGGGAGGCCTGGGACTTAAAAATAGTTTCCAAAGGGTTTCTCAGTCTTTTTTTTATTAGGTTAAATAACTCTACTTTCTTTAAGAAGGCTCCTTTAGGTACTTGCCTTATTCCGCACCCTGATCCCATCCACCGTATTTTAAAGAAATAGGAAATACAATCTTATTTAAAGTCTTCCCATCTGTACTTTGGAGTAAGTTTTGTTTATTGTTTTTTGTTTTTAAATGTATATTTTTAAATGTCTTTATTGATTTTTTTTTGAGAGGGAGGAAGAGAGAGATAGAAACATCCATGTGAGAGAAACATCAATTGGCTGCCTCCTGCACACCCCCTACTGGGAATTGAGCCCTGGGCATGTGCCCTGACTAGGAAAAAAATGGACCTCTCAGTCCACTGAGCCACACCGGCCAGGATTCTTATTGGTTTTTAGTCTCTTTCTTTTTGCTCTCTTTCAACCCACCTGAGTTTTAAAAATTGTATACTGGTTTTAAACACAAGTAGAATCAAGGTATGGAGAATTCAGTTCACTCTAAAGGACCAACTGTGCCCCTTCGCAAGCACTGTCCTTCCCTACTCCTGGCCCTAGGTAACTGCTGGTACTTTCTGACACTGCAGTTGTGCTCTTTACAACATTTCTTATAGATGTGACCGTACGGTATGTCACCCTTTATGTTTGGTTTCCTTCACTTTGCATAATGCCTTTGAGATACAACCATGTTGTTGCATGTAGATCTTTCTTGTTATCGCTGAGTGGTCTTCAAGTGGTTGGATTGTGGTGTTGCAGGTGGACAGCGTAGTGGCTGCTGAGTACGAGCTGGAGCACCTCTTACTAGAAGGTCACTGCTACGACATCACCTCTGGGCAGCCTCCACGAGGGCTGCAGTTCACACTGGGGACTTCAGCCGAGCCGGTCACTGTGGACACCATTGTCATGGCCAACCTGGTAAGTCATTCATGCATTGGGTGGGGACGAGTCGGTTCATTTGGGCTCTAATTCATGGCGGAGCAGTCAGTATTCTGAGCAGGAGTGAGATTGGAATTCATGGTTAACTAAATTCGGTTAATGTAAACATCCTGTTTAGTTAAACTTGTAGATTGTAATTACATGTCTCCTTAGAAGAAAATATGTTGGACTCGTCCAGTCTGAACCAGATTGGCTCCTGAAAATGCATTACTTACGCACTGATAGCATTTTCCATTCCGTGGGAGGCAGCTGACTCACACATACGGCGATTTTCCCCCAACATGGTTGGAGGGCAGCCTTCTTGGCTTGACTGGCCTGTGTTTTGCTAGTGTTTCCTGTGTGTAGTTTTTTTTTTTAGTTGCACTGATTGGTTAACTTATTTAAGATATAGGTGACTATTATTTCAGAAAAGAAATAACTGTCTCTCAGAAAAAGCATTATGATGTTTGAAAGAGAACTAAAACTTGTCTCTTCTTCTTGTCCTAGGGCTACTTTCAGTTAAAGGCCAACCCAGGAGCTTGGATTCTCAGACTGCGGAAGGGACGTTCTGAAGATATTTATAGGATCTACAGGTATGATTACGTGATGTCAGGTACATTTTTTTAGAGCATTTTGCACTGAAAATTAGCTCAAATTGAGCACTACACTGGTAGTTAGCCAAGGAATAAGAATTTAATTTATAATTGTGGGTGTGATGAAATCATGCTTTTCCAGGAAATTAAACATGGAAGAATTGTCAGGGTATAATTGGATAATAACACTATCCAATGCTAATAAGTGTGGTCAAGTTTTACTTTTTTTAGACCCATGACAGTTCCATTTATTCTTTATACAGGTACTTTACAGTTTTATTTTTAAATCATGAGACCATGGTAGTTTAAAAAAAAAAAGTCTGATCATTAGCAACTAAAGACGAGCAGGAGGCTCCATAGCCTCCCTCAGTCCTCACCTGCACAGGTACTGTGGGGAGGGGCTGTTTTGATGCTCTGCCCCCGAAACATTTCAAGATGTACAGAAAAGGGTTAAGCTCCCTCTTTGCTAGGAATTTGGCAAGATGGCAATTTCTGACCCAACTTTGTACAAGAGTTAGCACAGTTCCTGCTCGCAGGCATCCCTCATCTATGGCTCTGTCCTCCCAGCAAAGGCCACAGCACAGAGCCCTTGGTCTGACCTCGTCTGGGCTGATCCCACAGACAGGCCTCTCGTTACCCCAGATACTCCGTGTTGCCACTGACCCTGGCAGCTCTCGAGGACCCTGGTTTGTGATGCTGGCATGACTGCGTGGCAGCGTCCACAGGATATCCGAGTGACACAGGAGAGGTCCAGGGTGGCAGACTATGAGCACTTTACCGAAACTACTCGGCTCTGCTGAGCCAAACCAGCATTGAAATCAAACAGGCCAACTCTTGACGTAGCTCATTCTAGACACAGTCATCACAGAGGCGCATAGTAGATGAACCCCTCCACCCCCACACATCCCATTCCCAGTACAAGAGTGGGGAGAACAGACATTTCACATGTGGTGTGCCTGATGAGAAGTAGCAGCTGATGGCAGCAGTTACCCTGTAGCTCTGTCCTGCCCAGAAACAGCCTGAGAAAGGGCATGAGGAGCAGAGGTCTGCAGTGGGTGCACCGCCTAGAGTCACCCAGGGCCTGGACCCAGGTGGCAGGCAGACCACCTGCCCTGTGCTGAGGCGGCTCTGAGAGGCCGTGGTGCCAGTGGTCGTCAGCCCACCCTGCGTAGGCCCATTTGGGAAGAGGGAGTCACAACCAGAGTGGGGTCCCCTCCAGGTGGACACTCGCAAAGAGGGCCCATCCCACTGTCACTGGGGCAGGCCAGACATAGCTAAGAGGGTAGAAAGGACATGGGCATCAGCCCACAGACACCACTCTGGCCTGACGTAGACAATGCCCAGCACAGTGCTCCAGGTCTTCTCTGACCTGGTGTCCCCTTCCCTGAAGGCCCCGGCTTCTCCTCCACGTGGTGAAGGCACCCAGCGGTATTCCACAGCCTCCCGGTGAGCCCGAGGTGGAAGGAAGGAGCTGATGTCCAGGGTGCAATGGGCTGTATGTGCCAGGCTGTGTCTCGAGGGCCTGATGGTGTGCAGTACTCCTTCATGCTGCTTCCCACTGACCAAGGGGCCTGAGTTATTCCACAGCAGTCACTGGACTGGACGCTGAGGGCAGCTGTGCAACAGTCCACCCCTTGTCATGCTCCCACCAGATTGGAAAGGACCCCCACCCACCTGCACACCAGGGTTGGTGGGTGCGGGGTCTCGGCACACTGCTGCCAGGAGGAGCTTTTCACTTCCAGAAAGTGCTGTGCCCTTCTCACCTGAGCTCCAGAGGGTCTCACCTGACATGAAAGCGGTGTGCACTCCTGCTTATTTCTTACCCAGGAAGTAGAAGACTTGTGTGAGAGTAACATCTTCATTATAAACAGTAGGTTTCCCTCCAAACAGGATTTTACAATTTGTCATAAGAAGTGTGCTTGTTTTTCTAACCGCGGTTCTTTTGTGTGCCTTTTGTCTGACCACTCTCCTTGATCCCTAGGAGTATGGTGCCCTTCCTGTTCCTGCTGTCCAGGGCTCCCTGCCTCCTATGCTCCCTGTTGGCTATTCCCAGCCTCTGGAGTGTCTCATGCACCTTCAGACTCATACTTTTGCCCAAGAGCTCTGTTCTCTGTGGGATGACAGTGAATCCAGTGAATTTATATTATATCAGGGCTTTCTGAAGTTAACACCTTGAAAATCGGTGGCTAAAAATTTTAGGCATTATAGTTCATTAGTAGAGAAATACTTTACCTCTTCTTCCCTGTCTGCCTGCAAGTAGAGCTAGTTACAGTTCTTCCTCCAGAGCATGGACACCCGATTTAGTGCAGGGCCTAGACTCGGCTCGTGTGTGTCCACAGGCAGAAAACAGAGCAGGTGCTTTGTGAAACTGAGGTGGAGCCCTGCTTTCCTGCTTGCCTGTTGGAAAGCAGAGGGATGTGGCTCTTTGTACCTTGAAGGGGCTTCCTGCAGGTTGTGAAAAAATAATTTGTTCTGAAAAACTCCTTTATGATAAAACGGTGGACAAATATGGTGGGTTGATGTCAGGATTTACTTACTGCATTTGAGAGTTGTGATTTGTAATGTCCATTTCATTGTCTCCCCTTTCTCTCTCAGCCATGACGGGACAGACTCTCCACCTGATGCTGGTGAAGTTGTTGTTGTCCTCAATAACTTCAAGAGCAAAATCATTAAAGTGAAGGTGAGTTTGGTGTATTGAGGCAGCCACTCTCATAGTTGGTAATAGGAGCAGTGTTCTGGGATTTGGTAGCTGTTACCTGGAAAATGTATCTTGAAACCAGCCCCAAACATTGTGAGTTAATGGATGGGTCACTCCAGTAATAACGCTATTGTTGTGGCAATCATTTCATAATGTATTTGTACACAGATCATCAGGCTGCGTACCTTAAATTTATTCAGTGTTATCTGTCCATTACATCTCAGCAAAGCTGAGGCGGGAAGGAAAAAAGCCCAGGACTGGAATTCATAGCTGGGATTGCAGGAATGCTGCTTTAGATGCATGTGGTCTCGTCCACATGTGCACTGGCTTCTGCAGCAGAGACTCTGCCTTTCTGGTAATCTCAGTGAGCAATGCAAGTCTCGTTTTAGATACAGTGTTTTAAGATACTGTGTTGCTCATGTTGCCACAATTTACATTATTATTGATGACTTCATTCTGAGAAAATTGGGGAGGATGCCAGTGAAAATGTCAGTAACAGTTATCTATGGTAGCTCCCTTAATTTCTTTTCACTTTTCTCTATTCTCAGAACTTTTACGGTCTCAGTGCCTTAAATTCAAAAGGCATCATGGAACAAGTCCAGGTGTATCTCGTTTTATTGCACTTTGCTTCACTGCTCTTCACAGATGTGATTTTTTTTTTTTAATCTTTATTGTTGAATGTAGAATGTATTACAGATGTTCCTCATTTTTTCCCCCATTGACCTCCTCCTCCCCACTCCCGCCCCACTCCTGCCTTTCCCCACACTGTTGTCAGTGTCCATTGGTTATGCATATAACCACCCCCCACCCCTTTCCCTTTGAGGTTTGCCAGTCTAGCAATGAATTTGTACTTCTTAATCCCTTCACCTTTTTCACCCATTCCCCCAACCCCCCTCCCATCTGGCAACCAACAAAATGTTCTCTGTATCTATGAGAATGTTTCTGATCCACCTGTTCATTTTGTTTGTAGATTCCATTGTTGATAGATATGTATTCATTGCCATTTTGTTTGTTCATATATTTTATCTTTTTCTTCAAAAAGACCCTTCATCATTTCATATAATAACGGTTTGGTGGTGATGAACTCCTTTAACTTTTCCTTGTCTGGGAAACTCTTGATATGGCCATGATTCTAAATAACAGCTTTGCAGGATAGAGTAATCTTGGTTGTAGATTCTTGCTTCTTGCTTTTCATCACTCTGAATAATTCTTGACACTCCCTTCTGACCTGCAAAATTTCTTTTGAGAAATCAGCTGACAGCCTTATGGGAACTCCTTTGTAGGTAACTAGCTGCCTTTCTCTTGCTGCTTTTAAGATTCTCTCTTTGTCTTGAACCTTTTGCATTTTGATGATGATGTGTCTTGGTGTGGGCCTCTTGAGGTTCATCTTGTTTGGGACTGTCTGTGCTTCCTGGACTTGTACGTCTGTTTCCTTCACCAAGTTAGGAAAGTTTTCTGCCATTATTGTTTCAAACAGGTTTTTGATTTCTTGTTCTCGCTCTTCTCCTTCTGGCACCCCCAAGATGCGAATGTTGGCATGCTTGAAGTTGTCCCAGAGGCTCCTTACACTATCCTCATTTTTTTGGATTCTTTTTCCTTTTTGCTATTCTGATTGGGCGTTTTTTGCTTCCTTATAGTCCAAATCGATGGTTTGCTTCTTGGATTTACGCACTCTACTATTGAATCTGTGTAAATTATTCTTATTTATTTTATTTTATTTTTTTATCCTCACCTGAGGATATTTTTCCATATTTTGTACAGATAGAGCGAGAGGGAGAGAGAGGAAGAGAGAGAGAGAGAAACATCGATGTGAAGGGACACATCGAATGGCTGCCACCCGCACGACCAACCAGGGCCGGGGACAAACTGCAACCGAGGTACGTGCCCTTAGCGGGAACCGAACCCGGGTCTCTCCGGACCGCAGGCCGACGCTCTAACCGCTGAGCCAAACCGGCCAGGGCTAAATTATTCTTTATTTAAGTTAATGCCTCCTTCATTTCTGACTGTGCATCCATCATTTCTGACTGGTCCTTTTTTATGCTCTTGAGGCCCTCACTAAGTTCACTGAGGTTCTCACTAAGTTCATTGAGCATCCTTATAAGCAATATTTTGAACTCAGTATCTTTTAGGTTGCTTATCTCCATTTCGCTTAGTTCTTTTCTTGGAGTTTTGTTCTGTTCTTTCATTTGGGACCTGTTTCTTTGTCTCCTCATTTTGGCTCCCTCCCTGTGTTTTGTTTCTGTGTATTACTCAATGATAGGTATGGGGCTAGCATAGACCAGATGCTGCTTGTTTGAAAGAATTTAGGAAAAACCTGAAGCAGGATCCAAGACAGGCCAATGCTATGGTTAAGCAGGTGGCAACAGCTTGAGTGGGCCTGAAAGTTGGGTGGGGCGGGACCTCAGGGAGTCACCAGGGCGGGGCTACCAGTGTGAGCCAGGTTGCTGGAGTCCCAGGTATGGTGGCTGTCTGCCACCCCAGGGAAGGGCTCACCAAAGGAACAAAGGCCTCTGACAGCACATCTGTCCGGGAGAAAGCCCCCTCTCCAGCCCTCGTTGCAGTGTCAAACAGCTCAGTTCTTCCCTCTATGTTTCTGGCGCCCTTCCAGCTGCCTCTCCTCCAAGCTTAGAAGGAGTGAGTCTGGTAAGTCCATGCGTGGGCCCTTTAAGGAGCTGCCTGGGGCTCCAGCTGCCTCAGCCTCCCTGAGCCTCAGTTCCCGCTGTTTTTTCCAGCCAGAAGTGATGGGGATTCTCTTCCTGGCACTGGGATCCTGAGCCAGCACCTGGTGTGGGACGGGGACCCCTCAGTCCTCAGGGAGGACCTTCCCAGCTGAGGTGTCCTCCTGATTTTTATCCGCCACATGTGGGTGTGGGACCAGCCCATCCGCCTCCGCCCCTCACGCTGCTGCCTCTCCTATCAGTCTCGATGTGGCTGCTGCTTTAATTCCGTAGTTGTAGGACTTCCTTTGATTTCAGGCGGTTCTGAATGATGGTTGTTCAGTAGATTAGTTGTAACTTTGATGTGGTTGTGGGAGGACGCGATACTGCGTTTACCTGCGCCACCATCTTGACCGGACGTCACAGATGTGATTTTTAAGGCCCTTCAGTAGCAGAAAGATTATGACTCACGTCCTTGAGCTACTTGCTTTCTTGTGCTCAGGGACTGAACCCACAGTTCTCATACAGTGATACCTAAAGCCACTGCACGTTGCCAAGCCGAAGAAATGATCCCGGTGCTGCCGAGAAGACCCTCCCAGCCTGTGCCAGTGAATCCTGCAGAATGGCCATGGCGTGAAATGAGTTTCCCTGACAGAACGCCATGGACGCTGCACCTGTTCTCTAGGAGTAGCTGCCAGCTGCATGAATTATGCTTGTATTTTCACTTAGGCTGTATTTTCTACACAGTTGTTGGAGATTTTTTTGCCCATTTTTCAAACTGAAAGAGTTATTGTCTCATTACAAGAGGTTGCTGTCTTTTCATGTAAGGTTTTCTGTGATGTGATGGAGATACTTCTGTGGACTACGTTCAGCCCCGGAGTGGGCTGCACCTACTTGTAGGAGCATTGCTTCCGTGTTGTCAGCAGTGCCCATTGGGGAAGTTAGTTTAGTGCCTGCTAACCTCAGGAGGAATGAGATGCATCACTTGTGCTTGCAGGTTCAGAAGAAGGCAGACATGGTGAATGAAGACTTGCTGAGTGATGGGACGAATGAGAATGAATCTGGATTCTGGGATTCCTTCAAATGGTAAGTTGGCATAATAAAAAAGTCCTTTTTTTTTTTTAGGAAAAACAGGTATAAGCACCATCCTTCCCTTCTTTTGATTATAATAATAGTCTTAGGCCTTTCAAATTCTACTCTGTGCAGCCAAAAATTGCACTTACATTGAGTGTACACGAGTATTTCCCACTAACAGAGAGTTGATGCCCTCATGGTGAAGTCACTTCTCCTCCATACTTCTTGACTGCCGTGGGGTTGTACCTGCTCTTTGCAGGGCCGACTGATAACTGCTCGGTTTACTTTCCATTGTATTGTTGCTTTCTGTGGTGTAGCTCAATCTTTCCCTGAAGCTGCACGGTGCCTTTAGGCTGTGCTCTTTCATTACCTGGTGGGTGGTTCTCTGGCCATATGCTCTCTCCCCGTGGTGTGAGGGGCTCTGCACCTGCTCCCCTGTACCTTCCAGAGAGGGAGCAGCAGTGGGAACACACCACCTCATAGCCCCTCCCCTTGAGGGGCCGTGTGTCTGCCAGAATTTCACCTGTCTGCTTATGTTCACCTTTATTATTATAGGGGCTTCACAGGAGGACAGAGGACTGAGGAAGTGAAACAAGAGAAAGATGATATAATTAATATCTTCTCCGTTGCATCTGGTCATCTCTATGAAAGATTTCTTCGGTTAGTCGTGTTATTTCAGTATACGTGAATGAGTTTGTCACAGTATTCTTAGAGAGTAAATGTTTTATGCAGTCTTGCCCATTATACTTCTGTGTATTTGAAGCACTCTGAGGGCTATGAATAGATTATCACACATCATTGTGTTTATTTTGATCAGGCTGACAGCACGAACTCAGCCTGTATAGTAAACACATCTGTGGATGTCACAGGCTGTATAGTAAACACATCTGTGTGGATGTCACAGGCTGTACGGTGAACGCGTCTGTGTGGAGGTCACAGGCTGTACGGTGAACGCGTCTGTGTGGAGGTCACAGGCTGTACGGTGAACGCGTCTGTGTGGAGGTCACAGGCTGTACGGTGAACGCGTCTGTGTGGAGGTCACAGGCTGTACGGTGAACGCGTCTGTGTGGAGGTCACAGGCTGTACGGTGAACGCGTCTGTGTGGAGGTCACAGGCTGTACGGTGAACGCGTCTGTGTGGAGGTCACAGGCTGTACGGTGAACGCGTCTGTGTGGAGGTCACAGGCTGTACGGTGAACGCGTCTGTGTGGAGGTCACAGGGTGTACGGTGAACGTGTCTGTGTGGAGGTCACAGGCTGTACGGTGAACGTGTCTGAGTGGATGTCAGGCTGTATAGTGAACACATCTGTGTGGATGTCACAGGCTGTACGGTGAACATGTCTGTGTGATGATAACAAGACCTTCACTATCCCCGTGCACACGTCATACACAGCAATGTTCGATTAGCCACCACACGTTGCTGAATTCGTACATTGGAAGGTGAAGGCAGAGAATAGAAGTGGATGGGACTGTGGGCCTGCCTTCGAAAGAGTCACAGGGTTCTAGAGCCGGAGGATCTTAGTTCTCACACAAGAACAGCTGTTCTCTAGACAGGCTGAAGGGACTTGCTGAGGTCACAGAGTCAGAGCCAAGGAGAGGCCCTGGCTTGGGCTGGAGGATGCAGGAGTGGCCAGGGAAAGGTCCTCAGGACTGCCTTGTGGTCCGTGGTCAGGAAGGTGCCTTTGCCTGAGAGTAGCTTTCCTGATCCCAGGGTTCTTGTCACGTTTAATTCTCCGTTCTAGATCCAGTACAGCAAGCAGTCAAAATGTCATTTTACTCATGTTTCAGACCTCCCATTTCCAAGACGTAATATCAGACCTAAAGCAGTAATGTCAGATGTTAGTAACAACTGAGTTTAATTAAATTCCTTGACTCAAAATGTATTTTTGTTTTTAAAATGGGGATTCCTGCAACTGTGACCATTCGCCACTCCTTTCCCATTCCTTGGCGGGGCGCCAGTGCACGGTGGGAGGGCAGGCCAGCGACACAGCCTGAGGGCTGTGCAGGCTTTCTCTTTAGAGTGATGATGTAGTTAACCACAACTTCCATTATTAATTTGCATTGTAAAGCAGTTTATTTAAGATACAATATGATTTAAACATTTGCCTTTATCAGTTTGGTATACTTTTGTAGGTGAGAAATACTCCTTTCTCATTCAGTGAGAAATTTATAAAGAAGGATAATAGCAGCTTTCCTTTACTTGGGGTCTCTCAGCCTGACTGAGCCATCAGTTAGCCCTGCCATGAAGAACATTTACTGCTCTCGTAATTGAATACTTTTGATTTTGTTGAGATTAAAAAGCATTGGAAGATTATTAGTGTTAATTTGCTTTTCTTTGGCAGCATAATGATGTTATCAGTCCTGAAGAATACCAAGACTCCTGTGAAATTTTGGTTTTTGAAGAATTATTTGTCCCCCACATTTAAGGTTTGTTCCTCAGAAAAAGGAAAATACTCTTATTAAGAAAATATATGTAGTATAATGTACTTTTTACTATCTCAGTGTTATGTGTATAATTTAAACATTTTCTTTGATTAAGTTACCTTGATTCAATTGCATATTTCTTTGCTAATTACTCTTCCAGACTGATCTATTTTGGGGGAACAGTTGTTATAAAACCGAACACAAAATTATGTCCTTTGTGGAGTGTGGATAACAGATGAAGAGAGATGTACAGTTCGCTGCAATGGAAAGTCTATGTCAAACATGCGCCTAGTGTAGTTACATAGCGCACGGTGCTGGGTCCAGTGACAGAGGATCAGTTGTGTCACGAGCCACTCCCACGATCTGTAGATGCAATGCTCCGTCTTAGGAAACAAAACACACTTGGGAGGGTTTCTGCTTTATTTGCATCAGTATTTGCCATCTAAATGGATTTACTTGCATCTTTGTTGTTGTTATTCTGTAGAATTTACTAGACAACTTTAATGTATTTACTACTTTCTCTCCTGGATAAGTTCCTCACTTCTGGTTCCCTGAAGGTACTTGTGTTTAGAATATGAACAAATTCATGGCAACTGGTTTGTTCAATGTTTGGTTTGCCATGTTATTCCCTGGGTGAGACCTCGGGAGAGGAAATCAGCCAGCCAGGGAGAAACAGATCTCACCTGATCTCACTTATATGTGGAATCTAAAGAACAAAATACACTGACGAACAAAATAGAACCGGAGGCATAGATACGTGGTACAGACTGACATGTCGGAGCAGAAGGGTGTTGGGGGAAATGGAAGAGATTAACCAAAGAATTGAGATGCATGTATGCACAGCTCACAGACACAGATGACAGTGTGGTGCAGGCCTGGGGTGGGGTGGGCTGTTTGGAGAGGCACCAGGAGAAGATGGAGATATCTGTAATACTGTCAGCAATAAAAAAATCAAGCTCAAAAAATATTTTACTAATCAAGTTTAGACCAGTGAAGCTCATTTCTTTTAAGTACATACCCACAAATGTAAATAGTTATGTAAAAGCCTTAAAGACTTCTGTCATTTCATGTAGTGCTCGGAACTAATAAAGGAATGGGGATTTGGCAGACATTTATATGTATTTTTTTTTATTTTTAATTTTTTTATTTTTTTTATCTTCACCCGAGGACATTTTTCCATTTTTTATTCAGACAGAGTGGGAGGGGGAGAGAGAGAGAGAGAGAGAGAGAGAGAGAAACATCGATGTGAAAGGGACACATTGAGTGGCTGCTACCCTCACAACCCAACCAGGGCCAGGGACAAACTGCAACCTAAGTACATGCCCTTAGTGGGAACCGAACCCGAGTCTCTCTGGACCGGAGGCCGACGCTCTAACCGCTGAGCCAAAACGGCCAGGGCTATATGTATTTTTTATGTAGTCACGGGGAGTCAGATTTTTTTGTCATGGTGAATGTGCTTTGTGCCACAGTGATGATGGCTGTCTTAGGTTGTGAAGTCGGTTTTCTCAGAGTAAATGGTTGTGTCCCTGTGTCTGCAAACAGGAGTTCATCCCCTACATGGCTGACAAGCACAGCTTCCAGTACGAGCTGGTGCAGTACAAGTGGCCGCGCTGGCTCCACCAGCAGACTGAGAAGCAGCGCATCATCTGGGGCTACAAGATCCTCTTCCTGGACGTGCTCTTCCCGCTGGCTGTTGACAAGGTGCTGTTCGTGGACGCCGATCAGGTGAGTTCCGGGGGCCTGGCTGGGAGTTCGCATTGAAGGGCAAGCCTGCCTTTTCCTTTTTGGATTATTTTATTGTTTCAGCTATGGAAAAATACATGCTTATTTTACATTATTTAGAATATATGGAAAAGTATCACCCGATGTGGTCAGTTTTATTTTTTTATTATTAATTTTTAAATTCTTACTCGAGGTTATTTTTCTGTTGATCTTTATGTTGTGGGAGGGAGGAACGTCGGAGGGAGGGAGAGAAAGAGAGAAAAAAACACTGATGTGAGAGGGACACATTGACTGGTTGCTTCCCACGACCCCTACCAGGGCTGAGACCGAACCACAACCGAGGTACATGCCCTTGACCAGAATTGAACCCACAACTGTTCTGTCCAAGGGCCGACACCACAACTGCTGAGCCAAACTGTCTAGGGCGAGATGTGATCACTTTTAAAATTTGCATTTGCTGCCTCTCCTTTTTATATTTTCTTCTATGCCTCTTTTACATAATTGTCATTACATCATGTGTGCAGTTTTTTAATCTTAATTCATTTCACATGCAAACTAAAAATAGGCATTTTTTTTACATATGTAATTCATCTAAACCTCCTGATAGTCCTGTGAGATTCCCATTTTACAGATGAGGAAACTGAGTCACAGAGAGGCTCAGCAACATAAATTTGTTTATTTCTACTCTGTGTGTGCCAAGGACTACACTAAGTGTCTCATCTGTTAGTGAAGGCAGTCGGCTATCAGTGGAAGAACCCAGGCGCACGCTGGGTCTCCTGTTGGAGCCTGTGCCATTAACCATTGAGCTGCCCTCCAAGATACCTTCAGTGAGGTGCTCTGTATTTTCAGGAACTGCTATTGCATTGTTGTTTAACAAATGAATTGTGTATCTTCTCTCTAGATCGTAAGAACAGATCTAAAAGAGCTAAGAGATTTCAACTTGGATGGTGCCCCTTATGGTTATACTCCATTCTGTGATAGCCGGAAAGAGATGGATGGCTACCGGTTCTGGAAGTCAGGGTACTGGGCCAGCCACTTAGCTGGGCGCAAGTATCACATCAGGTACTAGAAGGGATGACTCCTAACACTGTTATTTGATTTTCTCTTCTTTAAATTAATTTTGTATATTTAATACTGAATAGGTAATACATTAATGTGGTTCATAAATAAAAATTATAAAATACACAGTGAAAAAAATCTTCTCAGTCCTATCTCTCTTCCACCTAGTTTTCATTCCACAACAGATGAACCTCCTCCGTTAATTATCTGTAAGTCCCATAGAATTTCTTACTTCTTACAAAAACAACTGACTGCTTTTTTACACAAAATATGAATTCTTTTTTACACAAAGCATACCATCCTATTTATAGTTTTATGCCTTGCTTTTTTGTACTTAATCTCTCTAGTGGATCTTATTATATGTAGAGAGAGACCTTTTTTCTTTTTATATCTACATACCATTCCAGTAGTGTTATTATATTTACGGTCTTTTGCTGTGACATACATTATTGCATTGAATAATTAAGTACATTAATTTGTATATTCCAGTACACCTGTAGGATAAATTCCTAGAAGTATAACTCCTAGGATAAACCATGTAGTGTTTGGTACTTTTACTACATTGTCTTCTCTGGGCACAGTGTGATTTGAAGGTTTGGAGGGTGGGGACCTCAGGGAACAGCACATACAGAGATGTGTTGGGATGGAGTGATTTTAGTATTCAACTCTATGTTTTTGGTCCAAAAGCATGGTAAACGTGTCCCCCACCCCTGCAACATGTAAAACAGCATCAGGATGTCTTTGACTAATAGAGTTATGTAGCAGTTCCTATAGCTTTTATTGCCTAATCTGCTGACATTTGCTAGAATGCTTTTGTCAGACATTAAATTATTTTTTTTGGAAGGCGATTAATAAGGAACAGTGACAAATTGAGCTTGTGGTGGCAGAATATGGGTTTTGTAATACTTTTCTTTGCCATCTTTGAAGTGACATATACTGACCCCACGGTCCTCCATTGGGCCTCAGCTCACATTTTCAAAGAGAAGCCAGAGTGTTTGCCTGGTGACGTGTTCCGTTATTCAGCGGGGTTACTTTGTTTACTGTAATCCATGACTTAATACGTGGATCCTCTCTGTACAGTGCGCTGTATGTTGTCGATCTGAAGAAGTTTAGGAAGATAGCTGCTGGTGACAGACTCAGGGGACAGTACCAAGGCCTGAGCCAGGATCCCAACAGTCTTTCAAATCTTGATCAAGTAAGTGCCTGTCTTTTTGGTGAACACTTTCAGAGATGCTGTACACTGTTGTGTCAGAATATGAAGTATTCTCAGTTCTCTCTTTGGTTGGGACAGTGTTTCGTTTCTTCATGGGAAGAAATTTTGTGTTTGTGTATGTGACTTTTTTTTTTTAATCCTCACCTGAAGATATTTTTCCATCTATTTTCAGACAGAGGGAGAGAGAGAGAGAGAGAGAGAGAGAGAGAGCGAAAACATTGATGTGAGAGAGACACATCGATTGGTTGTCTCTTCAACGACCCCGACCTAACTGCAACTGAGGTGCGTGCCCTTGACCAGAATTGAACCTACAACTCTTTGGTCTATGGGCTGACGCTCTAACCACTGAACCAAATCGGCCAGGGCTGTATGTAACATTTTTATCTCTCCTCAAGAGAAGACACATTAATGAGAAATGTCATAGGCCCAGTGTTGCCTTGGAAAGGGAAATGGAAGGAACTGTTACTGTATCTGCTCATTTTGTAGCCGAGCTAATCTGGTAAATTTGTTTCTCTGCCTGCTAGGGTCAATTCGTTCCTTTTCTTTAGGAACTAACTAGATCAGGACTCAGTATAGAATATAGCACCACAGTGTCCCTTTTTTCTGTGTCAGAAACTGAGGTGTTTTTTAGGTTTAGCTGAACTAATACTGTTTATTAATGCTAAACAATTTCGTAGGCGATATTATAGTTTAGATGTGGTAGATAGTTTCACATATTTTGTTTTGCTTAAAAGTTTACTTTAAACATATTTATGCCTTTATTGTGATATTTAGCACCCATAGAGAAGTGTACAAAACAAAAATATATAAATGTATACATATTCATATGCATCAGTAAATTACCACAAAGCAAATGCCCATATATCGCCATCTGGTTCAAGAAATACTAGAATGTTACTAGCATCCTGGAAGCCACCCTTCTCTAATGCAAGTGTCCAGAACCCTGACTTTGTGGGAGTCATCCCATTGCTTTTCTGTATAGAATTATTTTATGGAAAGATGTATTAAACATGTATTCTTAAAAACTATAGTTTAGCCCTGGCCGGTTTGGCTCAGAGGTTAGAGTGTTGGCCTGTGGACCAGAGAGTCCTGGGTTCGGTTCCTGCTAAGGGCACGTACCCTGGTTGCAGTTTGTCCCTAACCCTGGGGTTGTGTGGGTGGCAACCAGTTGATGTGTCTCTCTCTCTCTCTTCCTCCCTCTCTTCCTCCTACTCTATCTGAAGATAAATGCAAAAGTGTCCTTGGGTAAGGATTAAAAAAACAAAAATGAAAAAAACTATAGTTTTGCCTGTATTTTTTTTCCTTTCTATCTCAATGGTATCATAAAAGATGAACTCTTTTGAGTCTGACTTCTTCAGCATTATGTTTGTGAGGTTCATCCATGTTGTGTGTACTGGTGTTATGTTTTGTTTATTCTACATTTGGGTTGTTTTCCATTTCTGTCTTCCATGGATAATGCTGTGATCATTCATGCACATGTCTTGCTGCACATGTATACATATTTCAGTTGCATGTACAAGTACAAGTAGAATTGCTTGCTTACCAGGTTTGTGTATCTTTACTACATAATTCCAAACAGTTTTCCAAAGTAGATTTAATTTGTACTCTCATCAGTCATATAAGAATTCCTGTTGCTTCATGTTTTGACCAGTAATTATTGGTCAGTGTATGAATTCAGTAGGTGTGAGCTGGCATCCCATGTGACTTTCAGTTGAAGAGTTTAGTCTATTTACATTTAATGTAATTGTTAGTGAGATAGGATTTACATCTGCCATTTTCTGTTTTATATATGTCCTCTGTTTTTTGTCCCTCATTTCCTACATCATTGCTTTTTATATTAGACATTTTAATTCCTTTATTTCTTTTGTTATATACTTTTTATTTTCTTGATGATTGTCTTAATGATTATCATTAATGCTATAATTTATAGAATCTAGTTTGGAATAATAACAACTTAATTTTATTAATATATAAAGACTTTGTTTCTGTATAGCTTTGAACCCCCATACTGTTATTATTATACAGTTTACATGTTTATACATTATATGCCCATCAACACAGATTTATAATTACTTCTTTTCTTAGTTGTTTTTTAATTTGATGGTGGGGTGAGTTCCAAACAAGAAATACATTGATATGGTCTTTAAATTAACCTACATACCTTTACTAGTACTCTTTATTTTTTAAAAAAATTTTATTGATTTTTAGAGAGAAAGGAAGGGAGAGGGAGAGAGAGATAGAAACATCAATGAGAGAGAACATCGATTGGCGGCCTCCTACATGACCCCCACTGGGGAATGGGCCCACAACCTGGGCATGTGCCCTGACTGGGAATCAAACCCACTGGGTTTGGCTTTGACCTCTTGGTGCATGGGTCGATGCTCCACCACTGAGCCACACTGGCTGGGCTTTATTTCTTTATGTAGGTTTGAGTTACTGTTTAGTGTCCTTTTAGCCAGGAAGACTCCCTTTAGTATTTCTGGTAGGGTAGCTCTGGAGTTACCAACTCTTGGAGAATGTATAATTTCTTTTCTTCTTCTTTTTTTAAAAATTTTTATTTATTTATTTTTTTATCTTTATTGTTGAATGTATTACAGATGTTCCTCATTTTTCCCCCATTGACCCCCTCCTCTCCACTCCCGACCCCCTCCTGCCTCTCCTCACACTGTTGTCTGTATTCATTGGTTATGCATATATGCATATATGCATATAAGTTCTTTGGTTTATTTCTTTCCATCCCTCAATCCCCCTCCCCTCTGAGGTTTGTCAGTCTAGCAACCAATTTGTACTTCTTAATCCCTTCACCTTTTTCACCCCTTTCCCCAACCCCCCTCCCATCTGGCAACCAACAAAATTTTCTGTATATCTATGAGAATGTTTCTTGACCCGTCCCGCAGGTTGAGCAACAAGGACTCTAGAGGGGGAGTGAGGATGAGGAGGGACAAGAGACACGAGAAATGGAGACAAGACAGGATTCTGATCAAGTCTCGATTATTCAGAGGGAGTTCATATAATATATAGGGGAAAAACAGGTGAAACAGTTAATGAGTATCTCACCTGAAGCAAATTCCAGCAAATACCCCAGGTGGAACAAATGATAAGCAAAGAATGGAGTAAACAATTATCTAGAGGAATGCAGAGAGACCCCGCCCTGAGGCCGGAGACGGCAGAGCAGACTTTAACAAGATGGATGCCATGCAAAAAGTCTCCCACAGTTTCTGTTCTGCCTGTTTATTTTGTTTGTAGATTCAATTGTCGATAGATATGTATTTATTGCCATTTTGTTTGTTCGTATATTTTTTTTTTATCCTTACTTGAGAACATTTTTTTCCATTTTTTGTTCAGATAGAGTGGGAGGGAGAGAGAGGAAAAGAGAGAGAGAGAAACATCGACGTGAAAGGGACACATCGAGTGGCTGCCACCGGCACAACCAACCAGGGCCGGGGACAAACTGCAACTGAGGTACACGCCCTTAGCGGGAACTGAACCCGGGTCTCTTTGGACTGTAGGCCAACGCTCTCACCACTGAACCAAACAGGTCAGGTCTGTTTGTTCATATTTTTTATGTTTTTCTTCAAGAAGACCCTTCAGCATTTCATATAATAATGGTTTGGTGGTGATGAACTCCTTTAGCTTTTCCTTGTCTGGGAAACTCTTGATATGGCCATCGATTCTAAATGATAGCTTTGCAGGATAGAGTAATCTTGGTTGTAGGTTCTTGGTTTTCATCACTCTGAATATTTCTTGCCACTCCCTTCTGGCCTGCAAAGTTTCTTTTGAGAAATCAGCTGACAGCCTTATGGGAACTCCCTTGTAGGTAACTATCTGCCTTTCTCTTGCTGCTTTTAAGATTCTCTATTTGTCTTGAACCTCTTGCATTTTATTATTATTTTTTAATCCTCACCCAAGGACATTTTTCCATTTTTTGTTCAGATAGAGCAGGAGGGGGAGAGAGAGAGAGAAACATCGACATGAAAGGAATACATAGAGTGGCTGCCACCCACATGACCCAACCAGGGCCAGGGACAAACTGCAACTGAGGTATATGCCCTTAGCAGGAACCGACCCAAGTCTTTCTGGACCACAGGCCAACGCTCTAATTGCTTAGCCAAACCGGCCAAGGCAAACCTCTTGCATTTTGATGATGACGTGTCTTGGTGTGGGCCTCTTCAGGTTCATCTTGTTTGTTCACCTGTGCTTCCTGGACGTGTATGTCTGTTTCCTTCACTAAGTTAGGGAAGTTTTCTGTCATTATTGTTTCAAATAGGTTTTCTATTTCTTGTTCTCTCTCTTCTTCTTCTGGCACCCCCAAAATGCGAATGTTGGTACGCTTGAAGTTGTCCCAGAGGCTCCTTACACTACCCTCATTTTTTTGGATTCTTTTTTCTCTTTGCTGTTCTGATTGGGCGTTTTTTGCTTCCTTATATTCCAAATCGATGGTTTGCTTCTTGGCTTTACCTACTCTACTATTGAATCTGTGTAAATTATTCTTTATTTCAGTTAGTACCTCCTTTATTTCCGACTGTGTTTCCTTCATTTCTGACTGGTCCTTTTTTATGCTCTTGAGGCCCTCACTAAGTTCACTGAGGTTCTCACTAAGTTCATTGAGCATCCTTATAAGCAGTATTTTGAACTCAGCATCCGTTAGGTTGCTTATCTCCATTTCGCTTAGTTCTTTTCCTGGGATTTTATTCTACTCTTTGATTTGGAACCTGTTTCTTTGTCTCCTCAGTTTGGCTGCTTCTCTGTGTTTGTTTCTATATATTACTTAATGAGAGGTATGGTGCTAGCTGAGATCAGATGCTGCTTGTTGGAAAGAATTTAGGAAAACCTGAAGCAGGATCCAAGACAGGCCAATCCTAAGGTTAAGCAACTGGGAACAGCTTGGGTGGGCCTGAAAGTTGGGTGGGGCAGGGCCTCAGGGAATCACCAGGGCGGGGCTACCAGTGTGAGCCAGGTTGCTGGAGTCCCAGGTATGGCGG